AAGGATAGATATGATAATAAACATAATAAATGGAAAGACTTGATCGCAGTGATCAACAAATATATTTATCATAAATTTTATTTAACAATTAACTTCCTACTTACTATGCTTGTGTGTATCTTTTTGAATTTAAGAAAATGACTAATTCCTATGCATGTTTTTACTGAACACTCCATTTTGCGAAGTCAACGTAAATAATTCATGGTTATTTGAAACTGGTTTCCCATATATTATCTTGCTTCTTTGGATGCTGCTGGCCTTAGGGGTGACCAGAGGCAGTGACCTGCTTCTCTATTTCACCTGGTGTCAGACCTGCAGAGGAAAAAGCCACCTACTCCTTTGCTCAGACCCTCAGTGATCTTTCATTACACCGAAGTACTAACTTAGGCCTTGTGCAGTGGCTCATGCCTGTAATCTCAGCTAGTTGAGAAGTAGAGATTGGGAGTACAGTAGTTTGAGGCCAGCCCAGGCAACCAATCAAGCAAGCAAGCAAGCTAGTGAGACTCCCCATCTCAACAAACAATACAATGTGGTGGTATGGCTGCAATTCCAGCTCAGTGGGGGACCTAGAGAAGAGAATCACATTTGGGACGGGCCCTGGGCAGAAAAAGCAGTAGAATTTATCCAAAAAATAAAACAAAAAAGGCTGGGGACCTGGCTTAAGTGGTAGAGTACCTGCCTAGCAAGCACAAGGTCCTGTGCTCAAACCCCAGTACAGTAAAAACAAACAACCCTTCCCATAAAAACACCCCCAAAATTGCTAAATTGTCAGACTTACTGGGTGTGTACTATAAGCACAAGCTCATTGCTGAAAGTGCATTTTCCCTTGAATATTATTGTATTCTTTTCGAGCTTTAATATGTATTTTTCTGTATAATCATACAGGCATTTTTTTTTTTACAAAAAGAAACACTTTGAGAGAAAGCACTAGAATTTAGAGCATTCAATGAACAAACTTTCATTTGTAGAAAAAGCTCTAAATTTTTAATGAGAAAAAAGGATCTTTAAGGAAACCCAGAAAATATGTATTTGTTTTACTTCTGTCAGATTATTATCAACCCAGAATACACTTGAATATATATTTTTTTTACCAAATATGATTTCATTCTACTTTAATAGTAAAAATAGTCCAGGAAAATGCATCACTTCTTAAAAGAAACTAGGAAAGATACATAAATATAAATTTGTTTAAATGCATCTTCTATGGGACTGGCTGAATAGCTCAAGTGGTAAAGCACCTGCCTAGCAAGCATGAGGTCCTGAGTTCAAACCCCATGTACCACCAAAATAAATAAATAAATAAATAAATAACCAACCATTTTCTATAACAGTTCAATTAGGTTACATGTAATGTCTCTTACTATATGTGGAAAAGAGAAAAATAAAACTTTCTCTCATCTTTTAAAGACTACCTTGGTCATAAGCAATCTACTGCTCATTTAATAAAATTGTCCACATCACTAATTTTATTTATTATTTATGATATAGAAAAAGAAAACATAAACATTTCTACTATTTTGACATTGATAGCTGAACAGCAAATCTTGTATTTTTAAATCCAATGTTAGCTTCTAACAGAAATATCTGAAAAATAGCAGTAGCTTATGCAGATACTAAGAAAATTCTGAAAACATACACTATTCAACAATGAAATGTTTAATGAAAGAAATTAACAGTTTGTTATTTGAGAAAAACAGCACCAAAAGAAAAGAGGCATTCATTACAATACAAGATCTGTCCAGTGACTTAAACATTTTGAGTACTGATACAAGGAGTAAAAATACAACATAGGGATTTGCATAGGGATTATGCAAAGCACATGCCACAGCACATCATTAATCAACAAGGGTTAAAATACAATCATTTCACAAAGACTAACCACAAAAATGCAGTAACTAAATTAATAGGCACAGGTTAGGATTTGTTTATTCCTTTTGTGATTACTGCACAAGATTTCCCACAACATGGGGAAAAGTTAGATACATTCTTACACCTTTCTTTTCTCATAGCATTTTAAATGACTTTGCACTTTATATTTTTACTTTCTTTTAAAATGAAAGGAGATTTCATGTTGTTCATTCAAACATACATGCATATATTCTCTTAATTTTTTAACTTAATGAACAGGATCTGTTGAGATTAAAGTTACCCATGAAAGAATATTAACCTAACGTGTCATAAGAGGTATACTGAAGTTTGGCTGATATGTAACAACATTGAGAGAGGCAAAACAATACATCCGGTTTTGATAACAAAACTTCAGCTCCTCTAAATCCTTTTAATATAAAAGGCTAATTGAACAAATAAATATTCTTCATATAGTAAAAAAGAAATCCAGCACTCTACTGATATATAATCACTTTATACATACAAAAAAGTAAATAAATAAGTTTGTAAAAATTCTGACATAAACATTTATTGTGATTTTAAAAACTTCATCATTTTCAATTTATCAAAAAAAATAAAGATATTACAGTTCTTCGCTAGTGCAAAGACAGAAATATTCAATGAACTCCTTTTGGAATAGATATTTAGTAAACAATAAAGAATTCTGTACTTCTGTCTTTCTATTTTGTAATTTGTAGTTGTTAATGTTTTCTTGGTCATTTTGTTTTGTGAGGCTGAAAAAGTCATCTGTGCACAAGATTTTATGGACATTCAGGTGTTTCACTTATGGCATAATTTATGTACAATAATAACATAACACAAGTGTATTGGAATATAATATTAGATACATTACAACCCAATACATAAACATCTTGTGAACAGGATACATGGAGCAGGATGGTAAACCTTGAAGTGTTTTTAGCATCAAGTGAAGGATCAAAAACATCTACCTAAAACTGTCTCAAAGAATTATTTGTAATTCTATTATTTTATAACTTTACATCAATTTTTATGTTATACATTAAGAGCATTACATTATTCATTAAATAGAACAAGGATCAGCAAAATTATCCAAGAAAGGGCCAAACAGGGAGCATTTCAGGATTTGTGGGTCATACACTCTCTACTACAACTAACCAGCAATGCTGGTGTAAAACCAGTGTGGATAGTAAGAGAACAAATGGGTATGGCTGTGTTCCAATAAAATTCATTTAAAGAAATAGGCTGGACCAAGGGCATAGTTTGCTGACCCTAGAAAGAGAAAATCTACCTCAAAAACCACTTAATTTTAGATACTTCAATGCTTATCACAAAACGGGAGACACAACTCAATGTTGAACGCTTTGTGAAGTAAGTCATGAGTCAGTATGGGAAAAGAAAACATTTGTGCTCAGAAACCAATGCTATTACAATTCAAATTTTAATTAGTAACTTGGATTCTGCTTTTCTAATTGGGACAAAATTCTAAGAAAGTTTTATTGAGAACTAGGCTTCCAAACTAAAGGCAAAAAGAGAAAAAGAAATGTACCAGAGAGAGTGACTCTCCAATCTAAGATGGCTAACAAAAAATGGCATCTTTTTATCCTTATTGTATTTCTAGTCCATCTATAGTGGATGTAAATTCCATAGGGGGGGGGGGGGGGGGGGGGGGGGGGGGGGGGGGGGGGGGGGGGGGGGGGGGGGAGGGGGGGGGGGGGGGGGGGGGGGGGGGGGGGGGGGGGGGGGGGGGGGGGGGGGGGGCGGGGGGGGGGGGGGGGGGGGGGGGGGGGGGAGGGGGGGGGGGGGGGGGGGGGGGGGGGGGGGGGGGGGGGGGGGGGGGGGGGTGGGGGGGGGGGGGGGGGGGGGGGGGATGAGAAATATGGTTCTGAAGCACAGATTTAGCAGATGTTAGCAAACATTTATAAAAGAACTGTGTGAGTGCTTCCTACAAGCAGAACTTGTTTTTTTGCTAGTCCAACAAAGTGATGTCCTCTGAAACAGCAATTTGATTTTAAAGACATTCTATTGATTTATATCATCAGGCACACTTTGACTATAAAGATGAATTTCAGATAGAGCTAGAACTTAACCTGTACTTCAAAGGGCATGATTTAAAACTGTCTTATCGCAAAAGTTTGTCTTGGGCAAAACAGGTGCAGGCAACAAGGGTTGGTTGTAAAACTGGACTTATAATTCTTTTCCAAATAAAAATGGCTTAACTTTACTAATTTAGTAATAAATAGATTATAATCTCAAATCAGTTTTTCATATGAAAGACAGGTAGTCAGTTGTTCATAATTTAAAAGATCAAAGGTGATCGATCAACTGCTAATTTCAGTGTATTTATGTATTAATTATTCCTCAAAGCCCAGATATTTAAAAAACACTAGAGAAAATAAATCATACATGAGCAAAATTTGAATTTGTGTCTAAACTCAAAGAAATTAACAAAAAAAAATTAAAATATTCCTAAGCCACAGGCCACTCCACACAGTGGAAAAAATTAATATTCATATAAATTATTATATAAATCATACTTTTCCATGATGTAGGTAATAAAACGTAAACAATTTAGTTTAATATGTAAATTTCTCTACCTTTCTTTAATATAATATTGTCACTTTTCTAAGCAAAATAATAAGTTTCACAATGATAAAAAATGAGTTTTAAAAGAATGTTATTTGGTTTTAGACCAGTTACTGGAAGTTGACAGACAAAAGCCACATACAATTATATGCTCAAAGAAGGCACAGCCTAATTTGCCATTGTTATAAGCCAAGTGTTAACATTATGTACAAATGTAAACAGCAAAACATTTCTGACTATTAGAAGGGAATCCAAAGATGTCATGACAAAAAATATTTCCATTAGAAGAGTGTTATGGTTCAAAATTCACATATAAAAATAAATACATATGAAATTATTATATACATTACAGTACTTGAAGTTGAGTGGATTCCTCTTCAAACTATCAAATTTAATAACACAAGCTAAGATGGCCAACAGTTTTGCTTTAAAAAAAAAAAAATCCAAGGAGATGTACTGTATGGATTTCATGATTTGTAAAGAGAGGAAATTAAAGTGAAAGGAGCATGGTAAAATGAAACAAGTAAGATTAAGCATTACTATCGTACCGACTTCCATGGTCCCCGATGCCATGCTACATCACCAGGGCAAGCGTGCACATGGCATTGTGCCACACTAGGCGGCTTCTTGAGGACTTCACAGTTGTGCTCTTCGGACATTTGGCCATTGGGAAATTGACATATCACAAATCTTGATTTTATTCCTCCTCCACACGTTTGTGTACACTGAAAATAAGAGTAGGGAAATTCAAATCTGTGTGGCTTCAAAGAGACGATTATATTTCTTTACTCAATGTTTAAACATAAGTAGTAATGCTAGACTTTAAAGTTTATTATTTCTTCTTAATTGTCAATGTTTCTCCCAAGGTAAAAAAAAAAAAAATCAATGTTTTAATTCTATGATTAAAAAAATGGTAATTTTTTGAAACTTACTATGATGAAACATTTGAATGAGATATCAAAAGTTTGTATGATACTGTTAGCAGGTTAAATCAGAAACAAAACTGATTTACCTAAACAATGTGTAAGCAATGAATTATGCTGTAGCCATGAAAGCTAATAAGGTAGATCAAATTTTATAAACTTGGAAAGAGGTTCAGCATATGAAAACAGCAGATTGCAAAGCAGCGTTTTTAAAGAATCTGTTTCTTTAATCCATATAGAACAAAAGTCTAGCAGGAAATACACTAAAATGCTCAAAGTTCTTATTGCTTTACCTTGTTCAAATGGTTTGTATGTTCAGAATGAATATAACTAAACTGAGAAATAATTGTTACTTTAATTTCAGAAAATAGTTAAAGTGTATTTTAAATAATATATTTGATAAGCCAGGCACCAGTGGCTCACATGTGTAATCCTAACAACTGGGGAAGGCTAACATCGGGAGGATAGTTGAAGGCCAACCCTGGGCAAAAAAATTTGTGAGATCCTGTCTCAATGGAAAAAAGTTGGACATGGTGGTGTACACCTGTCATCTCAGCCATGGTGGGCAGCTACAAAATAACCAGAAAAAAGGGGTTGGATGTATGGTTCAAGCAGTACAACACCTGCCTAGCAAGTGCAAATTAGTACATGGCCAACAGGTTTTACCTTTAAATAATAATTTCCAAATTCTCTAAGGGGAGAACTTACGTGCTAAAAATCATTAAGCAAAAATATTTGACAAATTAAATTAGGTGACTTATTTTATTCACCTCAAACTAATATATATCTTTATTTCTTATTCTTTCTCATCCAAAATATGAGACCAAAGAGATCATCTAGGAAATTATCTTTATTTATGTCTCTAGTGCCTAAGAGTGACAGCATGAAGTACTAAATAATTAACAATTATCTGTCTTAAAGGAAAAGATTCACCAAACGAATGACTTAGCAATAAGATAAAATATGGTACAAATATCTACATTGTTTCCTGTGTTTATATCAACCTAATTTTCTAAGAAATTTAAACAAAAATATACTAATTTTAGAATGATAGTAGTAGTATAAAAATTGACTAGCGTATCAGATTGTGTTAAAAAATGCCTTTTATCAGAAGTCAGTCACTTATACATGAGAGCACATTATTACAAGAACACAATTTTAATCATTCAATGAAAAAAATTCTCTTTCCATATAGCACAATGAAGTAGGGTTATCCAGCTGTGCTTAGTGGCCTAAAGTGGTTTACTTTTGGTCTTGAGATTAAAGAACCTTCAAAATTTTAGGGAGTAGATGTCACAATTTACCTCTCCCCAGCTTCCATAGTTCCAGCGTGGACAAGGTCCAGAGTCACAGTGCTGTGACTCTGGGGGCTTAGAGGCTGCAGCACAGTAACTGGCACTTTGTCCATTTTCATCCTGGCAGACCACAACCCTGTGCTGAAGACCTCCAGCACAGCTGCTTGAGCACTGGCAGGAATAAATACAGAAATGCACATGAACTGCAGATTCTACAACACGAAAAAGAAAACCCACTACCCGACTCAGTCAAAAGCAAGCTCAACACTAAAAGCCCCTCACTGAGATCACGATGTCAATCAGGAAAACCTGTCTCAACACTTGAGCTTAACTGAGGACTTTGTTAGAATTTGTTGATGATAAGGTAAGTCTTTCAAACTTGCACTAGGAAATGATGTTTCAGTCTCAAAATAGGTATTAAGTAAAAAAAGGAATTAAAGTTTTAAGGACTCACTGGGAAGGGAGAAATAACAAAAGACAGTGTTCAATTACTTAACTTTCACCTTGGTGTTCTTCTTTATTTTGTATCATTAACCTCAGGCAAAATATCAACTACAATTATACCTTTTGTAGTTTACTGAGATTTTTACACCAGTTTATTGTATTGACATCATAGTAATCTTTTATTTTGTTCATAAACATTTGCAGTTTTACCCAAAAGGTTTTCTCTTATTTTTATGATAATGGACTCTAATCGGATTGTTTTAAAGTGCATTCCTCTGTAATCATAATATCACATTAGTATATAATTCAATTAGAACTCCAGTGATTTGTAATCTGCATCAAAAAGTGCCTAATCCTTTTAAGATTCAAACCACTGATCTTCAGATAAACTTAACATTAAAAGCATTTGACATTATTATATACATATCTGTTAAAGGGCTGAAATGTAACAAAAATACAGAATTAATGTAATTCAATAAAGACAGCTTACTGAACCCCATGGTCCTGTTCTCCACTGGCTTCCTCTGATTGATGGAAGGACCCCCTGATTTTCATTCTCCTTTGGGTTGTGAGCTAATGGAAAATTCCTGCCTGGAAAATGGCTTGGCTGCTCAGAGGAGCTAGGAAAGCGGCTGTACGTGGGTGGGCAGGCTGCCAGGTTACATTCTTGTTCTATTGAAGGGCGAACTTCAGGGTCACAGTAACTCTCATCAACTGGCTGGTGGTAGTTGATGCATAAAACTTGTCGGGTTGTTTTTCCATGGCCACAGGAAGCTGAACACTGATTAGAAATTTAGCGAGCATTTATAATGTAATATACTACAGTAACATTACATTAAATTACTATCAAATGTCATGTTTAAGTTATTCAGTCCTGTTTTCACCTAAGAATACTTACAGGTGACCAATTTCCTGCCTGCCACTCTCCACAAGGGCTAAAGCACATGGCAATTTCAGCAGGTCGGGGCAGGTGGGCACAAAATGATTCATCTGCCACTCCATCGTGGGCGTTGCGACAGCTCACATAGCGGGCTTGACTGCCTCTTCCACAAGACACTGAGCACTTAAAAACCACATAATATTGAGATATTATATACTATCCTCCCCCGCTTGCCTTGCCCATAGCTGTTACTCTCGTTTCTAAAACATCAAGTTTCCTGAGAAAGTCTAAATATAAATAATATCACCTGGCATCATTTCTCAGTCAAAACAGATGGGGCAATAAAATTTCCCACTTTAGATCATAAATTTCACCAATCAGGTATAGTAATTTAAGTGACTACAATGAGTTGAAGTAATGCTTAGTTATATGCCCAAATTAAAGATACCAAAAGCATTTAGTATAAGAGAAAGAATCGTGAAATATCATTAAAAATAACCTTAAAAGATTTAAGTAACAAGGCATAGATATGATTCCATAATTAAAATATAAGATTAAAGCAAATTACATATGCTAAATACATTAAAGCATTCAGTTCAGAAAACCAACATGAAAATGTCTGCAGTTTAAATAAATGTTGATAAATGCCTGATACCACATCTGCTTCTCATAACAACCTGTTACATAAGTATTATTATTATCCTCATTTTGTAGATTAGAAAATAGACGCTCAAGACTTAAATTTCCTGCCCTGAGACACAGGCTGTTTTGTAAGGCAGAGCTACAGTTTAGCCATTTAATGACCTAATGCTAAGCTCTATTCTTCTTGCGTATTACCAAAATATTTGAAAATGAATGCAGACATAACAGCAGCAACCATTGTGTTGAGGTCTAAGGCATCCGCAATAAGAAATAAAAATCCCTTAAGTAAATTCACTTACTGGGGTCCAAGAGCCATGTCGCCACTGTGCCACCTTTCCCAGGGGAACAGCTGGTAAGGAAGTAGCTCCGACTTTAGGGATAATTGGGCAAGGTGTAAGTACACAGTCCTGTTCAAAAGAAAAATAGACCTCATAGTTCTGACTATGACTTAATTAGGCACTGGGGTTTGTATGAAATCTAATACTTCATTTCCCTTTTCACATGTCTACTTCAAGAGCACTGCACAATAAAGTACAAATAGGTGATCTAAGAGTTTTTATTTTCAAATGCACAAAGCACTGTCAAGTACTTGTCCTGTATTATAAGGCTCTGCACCTGAATATTTGGATCATTCTTTCTGATCGTTGAAAATGAAATAGCAAAGTTCTTCAAGAATGCCATTAAGGCTGGTGTGGATGTCAAGCCTGTCATCCTAGCTACTTGGAAGGCAGAGATCTGGAGAACCACAGTTCAGGCCAGTGCAGGCAAGCAGTTACTGAGACCCCATTTCAACCAATAAAAAAGCTGGGCAAGGTGGCGTATGCCTGTCACCCCACTTAGGTGGGAGGCATAAAAAAGGAGGATTGGGTCTAGACCAGCTGGGGCATAAACAGAAACCTTATCTCAAAGATAGCAATGAGAAAAAGGCTGAAGGTATGGCTCAAATAACAGAGCATCTGCCTAGCAAGAGCAAGGTTGTGTTTTACCCTCCTTTTCTGGGAATGGGTACCAGTGGGAAAGTGTTGGCACAAGGAAAGGGTGAATGAGGGTGACTATCGTAGATTGTTTTGTACTGAGAAATGAAAATAGAAGAATGAAACCTGTAGAAATTGTTCTAAGAAGGGGGAAGGGAGAAGAGAGAAGAATGATGGAGGGGGTTAATCTAACCAAGACATATTGTAAGCACATACATAAACATCACAATATATACCCCTGTACAACTATTATATGCTAATTTTTTAAAAAAGAGCAGGGCCCTGAGTTCAAACCCCAAAACCCAAATAATAACAAACAACAAAAAATACCATTATGTGGAAACATTCTGAAGAAACACACTTTATGAGTTCATGGGATTCATCACACTAAGCTTAAAGAATGGGATCATAGAAGTTAAATGAGTGATCCAACAGCGGATAAAGAATAAGACCTTCCATAATAAAGCTATAAAGCTTGTAAAACCAAGAGATAAATTCTACCTTTCACACACATTTTAAAGACATATAAATTTCAGTAGAAAAATACATATAATTTGAGCACACCAATAATCCTCTTACATCATAAATATTTGTGTTTATACCCCAAGAAGAGGTTTTCTTTACCTGCCTGTCACTGGGGCGCCTGGCTTCATGGCATGCTCTGTCATCTAACACTGTACTCAGTAGCTCACTAACACATTTAACAGCACGCACCTGATACCCATGTCCACAGGTGGCTGTGCACTAAGGAAAAGACAAACAACAGAAACCAGTGTTTTTAAAAAATTACATGAACTTCCATTATCTTAGAGAAAATACACTTAACAAAATACTTTTAGTATATGTATTATCCCTTTATACCAGATCCAAGACCTAAAATTATCCAATTCAATCTATCTGCCTATTTATTCAAATTTATGTTGTTGATATTACTGATAACAAAGTATACTATGATTAATGTATTTTTAAAAGTTATGTAGAAAAAAAAATCAATAGAGGCTTGATAGTTCATAAGCACAGTCAATATAATTTAAGAAAACAAATTACTTTTCAAACTCTACCTGGCATATATATGTCATTATATTTCCTAAGTAAATTTCAAGTAGATGTATAAGAGAGAATGTATAATACTTAAAAGAGAGGAGAGGTTTCCATCAGCCTTGGCAACCTCCAAAGGATATAAGCTTCCCACCCTCATTCAGCCTGGCCACTGCTCCTCTGCAGGTTCCCAGCTGGCAAAATTTCTAAACTACTCTAAATACAGTAAAGATACCAATGTAAACACAGGACATGAAAATATTTATAGTTTGTCTAATCAAAGCTGATAAAAGCAAATTACTTATAGCATTTGGTTAATTAAAGTAAATTCAAAAGCAAAGTTGGAATATTAACCACAGCAAAATTAACAGTAAGGTCAAAATTTTGCAAATAAGGGCTTATATTTCAGAGGTATTTTTCTAATAATAAACCAATCTGTGTTTTGCTGAATCCACTAAGGAGGGAGGAATGAATATATCATAACTTTTCTGTTATTCTGTAAAGAAGGATCAAACCAGAAAAACTGTTATCATATACTCACAGAACCCCATGGTCCCACTTGCCAGGAAGCACACGTGTGAAGCTCACATGGTCCGAGAGATTCAGGCTTGGTGCTTGGATTACAAAAGCCATCACTCAAGTGATCTTCATTCAGCTGACACCAAACCTGCCGCTGTTTTGTTCCTTTTCCACATGTAACAAGACACTGTAAGAAGTTGACACAAATACATTACAAAATGATGTCATGATCAATTTGCATATTAAAATGCAGCTGGAAGACCACTACTAAGAACATTTTTTGCCTACTCCTCTAGAGATATTCACTGAAGAAAACCAGTCACCTCTAACTTCTACCACCACCTAAATCCCAATGAAATATCCATTTGTTCTATAAATCAATCTAGGAACTAATATATATCCTAGGCTGCTCTGGACTCTAGTACTTTCTTATAAAGATGGTTATAGACTAAGTATCAGTAAATGTTACCGGTGGCCTAATAACTATAAATAGGTTAAGGATAAGACATTTTTAAACTGATATAATAATAAAACTATTTACAAAATAATAAACTTTAATATTTTTGAATTTTATAAAGTCTTTGATTGCAAAACTTTCCTAGCATGATATGATAATAGTTCTCAGTCTCATGTGTTTAATGTTACCTCACTCCACTCACTAGTAGCCCAACTGGGACAAGAAAATTCATTACAGTTCTCTAGCATCACTCGAGGAAGTTCTTGACATTCTTTTTCAGCAAGACGATGGCCAAAGTTATTTATACAATAAGAGTCTCGAGTTCTTTCCCCTCCTCCACAACTTCTGGAACACTGATTAAAACAAACAAACAAATAAGCAACAACAACCAGAACAACAACAAAGCATAGGTGACTTGGAAATGAAAAAAATTAAAACTTTAACAAATATAGTTGGGAGAGCTAAAATTTTAATTAGAAAAAGGGAGCAACTTTTCTTAAGCAACAATTTGTATAGTACCTGGGACCACTCTGAGTAATGCCACCTGAGTAAGACACAGTCACCATGGCATGGCTCTCGGGTGGGAGGTTTAACTTGGTCACTGCAGTAGAGGTCATCTACAGGAACAGTCTGTCCTTTACGAATGGAATACTTCATGCAGTGGACATCCAAGGACCTATATCCTTGACCACAGTTGGACGAACATTCACTTTTCCCAATGATGTGCCACCTAGGAAAAATATATAATTACATTTAGGAGGTATGCTAATTAACACAAAGTTAAAAGTAGATTCAGAGACTCATATGATTCAATTTAAAATTTCTTTTAAAAAGTTAATGAATAAGCCACCTAAATATATTTGATATATCACTGACTTTGGTGTGAAAAGTTCTTAGAGAGCATATAACCCAAACTTTCATTTTATAAATGGGGGAATGAGGCCTAGAAAAATTGTCTTCTGATGATATAAACACTTGAATATGTTTATGGTGGAATCAGAAATCTTACTTTTTTCCAAATAAAACCTTACTTGTTCCAAAAATATATACAAATGGAGCTGTAGGTAGGGAGCCAATACTATACACACATTGACCTCACCCTTACATTGGTGACAACTTAAGAAATATAGCCACAGACTGCAAATTTCCCTGAAAGCCTTTGAAAACAACTGACTTAATTACTCAATTATATAATGGCAGATTTAAGACTATAACTGAATGTATCTGACTCCAAGTCAGACTGTCTCATCTGTGCAAACTCCCACCAGTACTTTGGAAAATGAACAGGAAATGTCTGGAAATCTGACTACATCAATAAAGACAAAGCCTTTAAAAGATGTCAAAATAGTTTTTGAAAAGCATATCACACTTTCTCATTAATTCATACAATCTCTATTCAGATATGTTTGAAAAGAAAATATTTTTCCATAAGCAAAACTGCCAGTTTTAGCCAAATTATCCTAACTGTACTCTAGAAATCTATCAAATAATATGAGTACACCAGTATATTGAGGCATAGGATTCACAGAGGGCATTTTCAAGCTCGAGGATTTCATTGTGCTTTGTGCAACTTAAACAGGCACTTCTACCACTAGGCTTTTGCACTATGTCTTCAAAGAACATCAACATACATACATATAAATTCTCATCTTTGCTGCAAGAAAGAGGTTTTGGCCATCCTTGAATATTAAATATCACCTGCTACAGTAGAAAAAATGAAAACAATTAGATGAGGTTTTTGTCCTTAGTATCAGTCTATTACCAATCATTCAAACCAAACCAAACAAAGACAAGAAATTTAGACTAGAACTGCAAACTTTCCTGCCATGAATGAGGAGCAGGTTCTTCAAAGTTTAATGGATAAAATATCAGGGAAATAAACCTATATATTATCTAATTCTCAAACTTTCTAAGTTTATTGGTCCATGAGTTTAATAGGAATTACAGAATCATACTACAAAATTTATTCTTTCAGATCTTTAAGCCATGACTCTTCAGATTAGAATTTATCTGTATTTATTTTATAGACAAAATTGCTTCTATATTCTCCATGAATGTTGAAATCTGTATAGCAGTATTCATCTAATACTATGAATAAAAATTCAAATGAATTACTAAGCTTCACCACAAATTATTGAGTCTGAAATTTTGTGATGGCAGGGGCAGGTGATTAGTATTTCTTCTATGTCTGCTCTGTGTGTGGCACTGCACTAAATTCTGCATCTTATCTCACTATTAGTGTAGTTACATTATACACTAGTTACATCATGCATTATTAGTCTTTTACCTTAGTTCACAGTCTGTATTGCATCTTTCAGTCACAAACAATGGGAGCGGCAAGTGGTCACAACTTTGATCAGACACAACCATATGATCATTCTTACTTATGCAGACAATTTTTCTTCTGTGAAGACCTTGGCCAAATGAAAATTAAAGATGAAAAGCAAAGTACATAGGTGGATGTTCCATATTTATTTAATTCTGCTAATAACCTAAAGGATTCAGCTAAGAAAGCAAAAAAATTCACCATAAAATATATAGGACATACTAGTATATTAATCTAGTCAGGAATTACTATTTATAGTAAGTAAGCTGAATCTTGGATAATTGAGGGGTTTGCTTAATGGAGAGACAAAAGGAAGGTGGGACAGGTATGGAGTAGAAAGAAATTCATCATAGCTAAAACAGAGAGGTTGTGGGGAAAATTGAGTGGCTAAGATCACTCAGTGCTCTATGGTGCATTGTATTATAGATCCCCATTCTTTGCTTCTCCTTTCCCTGTAAGAGAATTACACATCTCTGCTGTGACAACGTGATGGTGCTTCCCCACCCATTGGCATCAGGCTAATGTCAGCTAACTGAAGTTAGTTCCAACCATCTTCTTTCCCTTTTCCCTCTGCCTCCAGAAAGAATTTTCCAAGTAGGACTAATCTTTCAGTCTGGAATCATGAACAAAATAGACCACAATTATTGGTATCAGACTCTAGGGGAAGGAGGGCAGAATGAAAAGATGAAGCACAGTGGATTTTTAGGGCAGTGAAACTTCTCAGTATGATGTTATAATGATACACATGTCATCACACATTTGTCAAAGCCTATGTAATTCATAACACAGCAAACTTTCCTGAAACATGAACTATAGACTTTAGATGAAAACAATGCAGCAGAAGTAACTTGTCAATTATATACATGTGCCAAACTAATGCAAAATGTTAATACTAGAGAAATAGTGAGGAGGTGTTGATAAAGGACCAGGGAGGGGAAGATGAAAGAGGAATATTCATATTTTCTGTACTCTCTGATCAATATTTCAGTAAACTTAAGCCTGATCTACAAAATGAAGTCCATAACTTTTAAAAATTACATGGGCACAAATACTAAGTTAGAGTAGAGCCATAACCAATTAGAATCTAAAACACTGTGAGCAATAAATAACCTTTGTTCTAATCCATTGAGATTTGGTGGCTGGGTATATGCAGCATAACCACAGCAGAGGCAAACTAAGAGAAGTGTCTTAACGGCTGGAGCAGTTTGAATGTACACATTTTGCAATGAGGAGACAGTAAGAGGTTAAGCAGTCAGTGATGTGATCAAATTTCTGACTTATCAAAGCTCAACTATGTACTCCCAGTTAACTAAACATGAGCATATATGTATATCTTTGATCTTTCCTAAACACACTTAAAAATAACTACAAAGGTTTTGAGAAGGATATATCTAAAAGAACAAAAAATAAAAAAGGAAACACAGTAGGCAAGAAGAGGAAATTCTGAAGATGAAAAATGGATGGAAATAGCTACTTAACAGAGCCAAGGAAGATGAAGGCGAACCTTGGGAAGGGGGAGAGTAAGAAACAAACCATTCATGCCACAGAATCCAAGAAAAGCTCAGGTATCAAAGACACCAGGTTCCTCTGAGGAGGTGTGTGTTAGGGGTAGGCCTGAAAAATGGAGAATTGATTAAAAGAAGTATTTGTGAGGAACAGTTAAACCACTATCCTTCCAGCCAAAAGCAGTACTGTATGCTAAAATTAAGTAATGTAATATACAAAATTATCGTAACAAAACCCCCATGTATTATTAATGTATGCTAATTCAAAAACATAATAAAACTATTTTAAAAATCAGGATATGAGCCACACATGTAATTTTACATTTTCTAGTTTTCACATTAAAAAAGATATAAGTAAAACAATTTCAACAACATTTGTATTTAACTCCAAATATCTAAAATGTGATTATTTTAGCATGATCTCAATATAAAATTATTAATAACATATTTATATTATATGCTTTTTTTCATTTTAATCTTCAAAAATCCAGTGGGTAATATACACTCAGCACATTCATGCAAGGACTGACTAGTGACTACATGTGGCTAGTGACTACCACACTGCACAGTACATCGCTAGAAATGCAGAACTTGAGGGAGTAAGACTCAACAGAGGGAGGCTGGGATTCACTGAACTGAAAAGAGGTGCTTAAGAAAGAAATTTCCATACTGAATAATGAGACACTAGCCCACCAGACTGTGCATGCCCTCTGGCTCTAAGACAGTTTCCAACTGCGTCATGATCATGCAAAAATGGAAGCATTCCACTCCAGTGGGGGAGTGTTTAACTCAAGGAAAAAGATAACTCACAATGACATTCTGAGCTCTTCCCAATGAGATGTCCATGGACTATTCAATAACCCCATAACTCCACTCCCTAGTTGACTTGTGTGACCCACACAGGATTTTAATCAGCATTTTAGTACTTCTTAAATATGAATAATGGCAAAGATTAGCAGACATTTTGGAAAGCTGCTAATATATAATAGGCCAAAAGAAACAAAACAGACAAGTCGGGGAGCACAGAAACTTAAAGGCTGTGGTAATGCCCTCAGAGACAGAACAGAAGATACTGTGTCCATGAAACAGAAGCCAGATGTAATGAGAAGAAACAGTAATGAAATCATGAGGGCAAGAGGAAAAAACAGAAAATAATTGCTCATTTAATAGTCCAAAGAAATAACTTTCAGGAAAACAAGAGAAAAATTAGTGTGAGGAAATTATTTCTAAAAATGCAATGTGTCCCAAGACAATTCACGTTGGAATAACAAACATAATTACTTAGGAAAACAGCTGAAAAAAACCACCCAGAACCACATCCTGATATTTCAAGTCACTAGAATTAGGGAGAGGACCCACAAAACTTCCAGAATAGAAAGTGCCACACATAAGCACAGGAAATTGGAAAAAAGGTTGAAGGACAAACCAAAAAACAAAGCTTTCAAAATTCTAAACAGAAATCATGTAGTTAAATTTACACTACTTAAAGTACTGAGCAAGTACATAATATGAGGTTTAGAGGGGAAAAGTCTCAAAGCCACCATTCTTTGTCAGTGAAGTACTAAGTTAGATGTTCCAATCAACAAGGGAAGTAAATCAAAAGGAAGAATTCATGAGAGTTAGAAATAAGGAATTCAACAAAGAAAAAAAGCTGAAAAGAATTCTCAGGATAATAATGAGGAGATATCTTAAGATAACAGCCATACGAGAAGTCTAAAAAAGCAACACAGACAAATTTGCACAAGAAAAAAGAGAATTAAGAAAAAGTACAGGGAAATTAAAATTGATAACATGTTTGGAAACACTATGACAAAATTGTACTTCTGACACAAGATTAAGGACTTTTAAATAGGTAAAAATGACAACCAAAAAAATTACATTCACACAAAAAAGAACTGTAATCAGCAATGCGGCAAAAGAATGAATAATTCCTTTTGTATCTCCTGCACATGTTAACACTCACACCGTCTCTTACCACAGTTTGCCTGACCTCCTAGAATCATGTTATTCTTTATTTGTGTGGCTATTGCACTTGTCTCCTAGCTCCCCGTGCCCATGGCCAAAGAGCAGCTTACATGCTCAGTGCTGGTCCCAACTGTACCCTGTAAAGTAACCCAAGGCCTTCCGGGCACAGTGAACTTTTCCTTCTCCTTACCAAGCTCTTCATTCCTACGGCAACCTTGATCACAGTTGACCTAGCATCAACTATTACCATATTGCTTCTCTGAGACGCTACCCCAAACAGTAAGAGGAACACCTGTTCCGATGCGCTCATTCTTGGGACTAGCACTCTCCCAAGGCCACAAGGAGCACCACAGCCTCTTTGGCACCGTGTCAGGTGATTTTGTTAAGACTGACCTTATTCTCATCATCTGTGACCACTGTCTTTGGCCACCCACCTTTTCTCATAAGCTCACCTCCATACTGTTCTGAGCTTACTTTCCTCTGACTCCCTGCGCTCCTCATTCCCCAACTTTTTCTTTCTTCTCCACAAAAGCTACTTTTCCTTTCTACATAACAAGTCTGTACCTTCAGCTTTGACACCAATAAGCTCCTCCCTCCACCTTTTCTGGGGCGTCTCTGTGTAGGTCTGTAGCACTAGAGTTATTATTTCATATTTTCTACTCACGCTTCTGCTGCATCCCTAGACTTTAAATCTCGAATGCAGAACTAGGGTCTTACTAAGAATCTGAAAAATAAATGTTTCCTGCATTGAATGATAATTGCAGATTGCACACACTCTAGTCTTCCCTTTTTTTTTTTTGACAATTTCTAGCTCTGATCTTTTCAGTTATTTGGTTTGAAATAAGGGCCTTGGTCTTGGCAGGTAACAACTCTACCACTTGAGCCACACCTTCAGTCCTTTTTGTCTTAGTTTATTTTTCTTTTGTCCTGAGATGGCCTCGGACAGTGATTCTCCTACCTCTGTCTTCTGTGTAGCTGGGAATATAGCCTTGCTTTTTCTTTGAGATAGGGTCTGCCTAACTTTTTTGCCTGTGCTGGGACAAATATACTTTCTCATGGAACAGGGAAGAGAAATAAAAGAATGAAAATGCCTGATATCACAATAATAAAGGAGGGAGATGTGTTGATAAGAAAGAGTGTGTGGAGGAAAGTGGATAAGAGGGTAAGATATTCACTGGGAAGGAGGTAAGTTAGAGAAATACTTCTAGTGCAAAACTAAATTAAAAAAAAATAAAATGAGAATGTAAACAGAAAGGAGTGAAAATGGAGTGTTAGAAAGGGTGGGGTTAAACGAGGATGTTAAGTATAGAAAACAGAAAAAATGAAAAAGGAGAAAAGTAGGAAGGGGAAAAAGATCTACACGTTTATATGCCTGTATATTCTTTGTATGTGGAAAGTACAGAGGATTCCATAGGCAGCCAAATTTAAAAGGACCCAAATGACACCGGTATGCAGAGTCAAACTTTGGGCTCTCTTATTTACTACCAGGGTACCTTGACACATTTTGGTACAGTCTTGCCATGGTCCATATGGATCCCATGCAAACAGGTCACTCCTTTCCTCCACAGGGATGTTGAAGGAATAGCGTACGTCAGGGTTGTATAAATTACCAACACATAACACCTCAATAAAAATACAAACAACATACAATTAATTTTAAAAGGTACTTTCTTAACACATCTTTTTTATATAAATAAGAAATACTAAGCATTTAACCAGTATATCTCACTACTGTTTAAAGCTAAGTCTTACTGATGACTACTAAAAATTTACCTGCAAAACAAGCTCTTCTTCCAGTCGATCGGTACTGTTAATTCTTTCAATTGAGTTGTTTGATCCACTGTACTCAAAAATAGCTCCTTGTATGTTGATTTCTTTTTTTGACATACTTACAACAAAATTTCCATTCAAAAGAAAATTCCCCTGAGTGTCAGATAATGCTATAAAAAAATAAAATATGGCTTATGAAATAGCAAAGCTAGCCAACAATACAGAAAATACTTTTTAATCTATTAAAACTCAAATCCTTTTTTGAATTTAAAGAATGTAAATGTAAATGAACATTAAGGAAATAAACTTTATTTTGCTTTACTGTAGTAATTAATCTGTAAGTAGAGAAACTTCAGCGCATCAGCCAAAGATATTAAAATATTGCAGTCTATACTTCTTTTTCTGAGAGGGTCACCTTGTCTTGTGAAGTATGCAGCTTCATGTGGGACATAAGGAAAGTGGCAAAGCATAAAGCCCAAGCAGACAGATGAGCTAAATCTAGCCCAGTCATCAGTGGAAGAAAAGAAAGAGCAGTCAAACTTGGCTCCACTCATGCTTATCTTGGGAAAAATGTGCGAAGTTTTAAAACTCTAAGGTCAACAATCTACGAGGCCATGCAAGGGCTACCCCATTTTCTAGATAAATGGTACTGTCACTGTTGACATATACGTGAATAACTGCTGTTCAAAATCTGTTCATGCCCCTTCTTGTTCCCTCTTCCCTGTTGACAAGTATAGACATAACTCTGTCACATATGTTCATGTGTGTATATTTATTTATATACTATATAATTACATACATATAAACATTAATATAGCATACATTCATAATTTGCTACATATCAAATATAAAACTGTATGATATTCACAACAGTGTGGTGTAAAAAAGACAAAAGAATTTGATGTAAAGCAATGGATTTGAGTTGTTCCAATTAATTGTCATGTGGTCTCAGACAATGCTCTTAATTTCCTAAACTGCATAATAGAGTTAATAAAAATTTCTACCCTGGCAGGTTTTTAAGAATGTGCAATACATAAAATTTTACAAAAATGAAACCCCTATATTAATCAAGTACTTTTCTGCTTGCTTTACTTGTGCTGCACTTTCCAGTGGAATCTGAAAAGGAACCCTTGGGAAAATATTTACTTGACAGTCTAGGAAACCTCATAAAAAACATATGAGCTATTTATGATTAAACTTCATAGTAAATACAATACCCCTCTAAAAATACAATTGTGAAAGGACCATTACAAAATAAATTAGATGTTTCTGGACACATGTATTATACTGATTTCAATGAAAATCAAATATATAGGATATATATATATATTAGGATAAAGATACATATTTATCCTAAGAGCAGAAATTCCTCTGTGTAAGATCTGCACTTTATCAAACATAGATAAGCTGATTCAAGGGACTATTGGTTACACTAATCTAAGGGAAGTAAGCAAAATGTACTGACCAAAAAATTCTACACATTTTACTCCTTTTAGTTATGAAAGTTCATAAATACAAATGTTTCAAAAATCCCTGCTAGTGATTTCAGGCGTTATTTTTGCTTATTGCAAATTAGCCTTATTTTCCATTTGTAGTTCTTTTACAAATTATAATACTTTATTGGTGAAAACTCTTACTTTTTAAACTTGGACAGAACCTATAGTTCATCTCCAGGAGATAGATGGTTCTACACTTGGAACCTAAAAGAGATCTATTCAATTATTTATCTAATGTGGTAACATATATCTTTGTCTATCTGACTAGGTAATATTTTTAGCAGAAGAATAAGAATTTTAACTAAACATTAAAGGCTAATAAATCAAAATATTTACATTTGATTTTCTATGGGAAATACTTTGCATTTATTGAGGTGAACCTGGCAAAACATAAAATTAACCATTTTTAACTGAACAATTCAATGGTATTCAGTATACTCACAATACCTGTGCATCCACCAACATAATCGAGTTCCAAAATATTTTCACCCCCAAAAAGAAACCCTAAACCTATTTACATATGACTCTACAAGGCCAAATGCAATTCCTGAAATGAGCCATTCATAACAATTCACTTTCCCAGTAATAAGTACTATCTGGGCAGTATTCCACATCTTATTAATGAGAAGCAGATAATTCCTCAATATCAGTTCTTTATCACACCTACTGTAGTTTGGTGAATTACATAGATCCATTCTAGGGTGTTTCTCAGGAAGTGGGAAAGCTTGGCTTTTAAAATGTTCTTTTCATCTTTCTGTCTAAGCAAAATTCTCCCAACCTGAAAGCTAATTTCTAAAAACAAAAAACAAATACCAGTCTATACTAGAAATAGCTAAAGGACAGTATACTGTGATGATATTCATTAATATGAGACCACACTTCTTTTTCTGTCTTTCTTTAATACAAGAGCTTTAAGTATTTTAAATACATGGTATAAACACTTAAGAAAACTATTTAAACCACCTAACGCCAAAGAGTTCTATAACAAATATTAGATAAAAAGAAGGGTCTTTTATTCAGAATATTCATGTAACTTAAATTGATTATAACTTTCGGTTATCTAAAATAACTCTGATGGGAAAAAAATGGAAAAAGCTTTTTTTCAGAGTTTCATTCAGTGTTTCTTTTTAAAAGGATATGTTTTATGTAGCTTAAAAAGAAAATATACATAGGGCATCAGGTGGCCTAAGCAAGGGGAACTGAAATGCACATATATACCAGGGATTTTTGCTGCCTTTCAAGAACCACATCAACCACAGACCCATAAAATTGCACACAAACCACGTACTGGCTAGTGCTTACTACAAATGTTTACCCAGGTAATTGTCATCTTCTGGTTTTCCAGAATAGCTGTGCTGAAGAATTTCGATGTTTGTTGCTCCGGTGGGAATCTTTACAACAACATTATAGCCTGCAGTATAATTTTATACATGTTAAATTTCACAAAAAACAGATGTCCTGGAGGCTATTACTGTTCAGTGAATGAAAATGGGAATAGCACAGTCAGGCTCAATTTCATGACACAATGTTTTTCTTTTTGAATTAATGCTTTCACAAATCAGAGAAGATGGAGAAAAGGTGATTGGTGGCTAGATACACACAGGATGCTTTAAAGCACAACTTTTCCTGAGTTTTCTTATTGCTAAAATTCTTAAGAAAGATTAAGCTAGGGTTTTAGCTTCTCAGATACTTAATACACATACTCATTTTTAAATCGTACTAACACTTTTATATAGTTTCTATATAAAAATACTGAATTTCAAATGCTATTTTACAAATCCAGGGATATTATCAGAATTGGTCACTATGATATGTTCACACAGACTCAATGAGTAATAAATTTCATTACTGAAAATAATAATAAAAGAAAAAGTCCAAGCTTTTAGTTTGTAGTATAACAAATTGGACTCCTTATCGCTATCTCCATTTTTGTCACAACACTTTTTAAAAGTCTGTTAATAAACTAGTTAAGAAAAAATAAAAACATTTACTAGAGTGAAAGTAATATCTCTATTTTATGAGACCAAATTCAGCATTGCTTGAAAGAAATAATATATCAAATATATATTTAGAAATTTTTTTTTCTGACATTAAAACCACTTATGTTACATAATTATCCAAATACTATTGGGTTGGGGGTGGAGGAGTGGCTCAAATGGTGGAGCATCTGCCTGGTAAGTGTGAGGCCCTGAATTCAAACCACTGTAACTGCTAAAGAATAAAATAAAATAAAATAAGTACTATCATATTAAAAAGTAGAAGTTTTAAAAGAGCTTAAATTTACAATCATGGTGTCAGGTCACTTTGCAGGTTTTGGAGGAACCTCATTTATTACTCTTTAAGGCATCACATTTTAAGTGTAAGGTGATAATGTGCTGATGATTCTGTTTATACCGTATCAATCTATGAGACCAATTTTAATTCCCATTTCTTATAAAATATTCCCACTTACTACTTCCACTATTTTTGTTAATACATTAAAAAGCAAGCAAGACTGTGGCAGTGCAAAGGTGACCGCCAGGGGGCAGAAATGTGACAGATACTATTCAGACCTTGTGAATGATTACCAATTTTTTTTTTTCATTTGCAAATTGGTAAATTCAGTTTTCTCAAGGTTAAACATTTTAATACTAATTTTATGTATGTGATTTTGCCCCGGAAAAAATATTTTTCAATAAATATATATTATAACAAGAGTGTGTCAATTATAGGAGGCCAGATGTGTATGGCTCTGATGAAATGATGTACAACTAGAAAAACAGTATGTCAAATCATCTAGTAACGAATACTCAAAAGTATGATGAGCACACCAGAGAATGAAATGTTACTACACTTTCCATGCAGATAAAAATATACATTTTGATTTTTAAGTTGTACCTCTTGAATTGAAGTAAACAACAATAACCCAACACATCTGAACATAGGGGTGAACACAATTTAATGTTGAAAACTAAGACTTTAGAAAATACAGTTTTACTTTGTGAGGAAAGTTTTAAAGTTCTGTTTTTCTTATCATACAAAGAAAAAAATCTTTGGCCCAGAAAATTTTAGAATGGAAAATATCTGAGATATTTTCATAACAATTTTGAATAAAAATGAAAGGATGGTCAGATATCAATTATATCTTGGGAAATCAAATGTGATGATTATTATGAACCAACATTTCATCCTTCACCTTCAATCCATGTTTTCAATATAGCATTAATAAGAAACACAACAGGCCAGGTCAGGTCCCCAAAAAACTGACTCAAATGATGAAAATAATTGAAAGTAAATTTATTAGAAAAAAAATCATAAGTGTATACATTTTAGATTACAGGAAAGCACTTTCATTAATTGGAAGAGTATTTACACATCATGGTCAAATAGCACTGAATTTATTCTTTTACTCATAATGGACCTAATATAGTTTTAAGAATTAGATTTGCCTTAGGCAGATAAATTCATTAATGTAAGGTTACTATAGTTTTTTATAGTTAGGAAGTTTTTCTTTAACAATCATTTTGGACAAATGTATAGATTACATAAAATAATAACAAAACATTGCCACTTCATTATGTATTACATAGTTATATCAAATAAAGGGAGGAACTAGAAATAAGCACACAGCTTACCATAGTGGGCACTGTTGAAGACACCCGTCATTGTCCTGCATGAAGAGTTATCTCCCCTGCATACTCCACATTTGTCTCTCTTGGCCTTGGAGTTTAACACATGATCACAGCCAGCTTGCTTCATAACACAGTTATTATAATCAATATGGTAAAAATGGCTAATTATGAATAAGCATGGTGCTTTAAAGTATATAAGGTTGTCTTTGTAAATGTTCTTTCAATTAACAGGAGATTTGATACTATAGCATTTTTTAAGAATATTTACTGATTCTGTACATTAATATATTGACAAATCTGTTCACATGTTCCAGAAAGCAATATTTTTCAAAGGATCAGTCAGATACTCCTGCATCAGAACCACAGGGTTTGGTATTCAAAAACACAGACTTTTTTCTTAATCATTTTTACTTTACTCACATGTGTATACATTGTTTGGGCCACCCCACCCTCACCCCGTTTCTGGACAGAACCTGTTTGCACTCCTGTTCTTTGATTTTGTTGAAGAGAAAACATTAGAGATAATAAGAAAGGGTTTTTGCTAGTTTGAGATAAAGATAGCTATACAGAGAGATTACTAGCATTGCTTCCATGTTATTTTTGTATTGAAACTCACATTGGTTCATCTCTGCCAGACCTCTTTACTTCTTCCTACTCCCCTTCCCCTAGTGGCCTCTGCAGTTTAAGATTACTATATTCACTCCTCTACAGTGGGCACATCAGCCACATTCAAGTTTTAGGTTTTCTTCCCTCTCCCTATTTCTCCCGTGCACGTTCTCCCCTTAGTGTGTGACCCACGTCCAATAATATTTCTACATTTTCCCAGACTTTCTTAATTAACATTAGAGGAGTTAAAACACAGGGTTCCACATCCTAACACTGGCAGCGATTCCTATACTCATGATTGTTTGAAAACCACTCTTTAAAGAAACGTAATTCAAAGAGATGAAAGTATGATTAGGTAAGTAGCACATGAGAATACTCTATCTTGATACTGAGTATCATGGCAAAACAAAATCAGCAAACTTATCTTAAGGCTTCGTGAGTCATTTTTTGATGGCAGTGAATTGCCTAGTAGCAAATCTAACTGCACTCCTATCAATTATACAATATCAAAGGTTACTTTATTGGAATTCACAAGATTATACTTTGAAGGAAAAGAAGTCATATTTGGTCAGAGAAACAGAAGACAAATATTATTCTTAGAGTCATTTTAAATGTAATAGAACCTTACAGTTTACTCACCCGACAGAGGCCTTGAACACAGACGTCATTTGTTTCAGTCCCACAGGGCGTACCATCAGCAACCCTATCCTTCAACTGATAGAAGTTAGTGGTTCCAGCCACCCGACAATAGAGTTTACAGCGATCTTTTATGGCAACTGTATTAAAAAAAAGTCAGATTTTGGTATACGATAATAAAGCTGTGTGTTCCTATGTCTCAAAACATTTTCACATCTAAGAAAACTTATAATTACTTACTTCCACTGTACTTTGGAAGCCACCTCACATTAGGGGAGAGACCATTGATGTTGAAATGTTTACCATCAAAATCAGAGCACTGCTTCTCTCGAAAGTCTTGCTTGCCTTTTGGACATGAATCAGTATTACATGATCGAAATTTCATCCTGCGGCCCACACAGTACTTTCCTCCGTTTCTTGGCCTAGTCAAATTCATTACATTTTAAAGCACATCAGTACAATATTATTTCTGCCACATACTTCTATAACTGTTCCACTCTTTTCCAGGATCAGGAAAACCACTGATGGTCCACTAACATTTGTTTTTTATGGAAATATGTAACAGGGATTTTAAGCAATTAGCTGGCTAAGGAGCCATGAAAACATCCACCTTAAGGTGGACACTGAGGCCTGGAGACAGAAAAGAGTCTTATTTTCAACAAGATTAACTAACAAGAAACTAATGATGGGATTTTGTTTAAAAAAATTCTAAAAGGAGCTTGCTCATTTTCTGGAGAAAAAAAACCACATATACCAAGCCAAAGTCAACAAAGGAAAAAATCATGTTAAAAATGAAATTCATATGTCTCTTTGTTGTGTATATCCTACTTGTCACTCAGTTCATGGAGTCTCATTGTTACCAATCTAAGTCAATCTCTATTTCAACTTATGATGGAAAATAAAACTCTTCAGAATCTCCAGGATAAAAAGACTTCTGGTATTCTAAAATCCAAATGAACTGTTAGATTTTATTTATTTTCTCCATTAAATGTCCCTTTCTTCATTAAAAATGCTTGTTAACATAGTAAGGAGTGTCACATTGCTTACCAACTTATATATTATATGTACAACAGAAACATTTATTTAAAAATCTTTATGGAATCTCTAAGCTCTTTAAAATAGTTTGATGAGGGGGAGCTATGCTTCAGCACTTATTCAGTTAAAGACAATGATGCGTCTATAACATAGGAAGCAGAAAAAGAAAATGTGACGTGTCAAATTACAAAGAAACAAAAAACTAGTAACCAAACCATGTATTTTGTCCAGGACAGCCAAATACACAGAAAGATCCAGAATCTTTCATTAGAAACACAGTAAATGTGAAAATACCATTATATTCTTTCATATTTACAAGTATTTCTTAAGTTTATACTAAATCAGAAAAGAAAAAGAATATGAAAAAAATAGTTCTGATTTAGTACAGATTACAAAATTTAATTTATTCAGCTTTTTAAGGTCCAAATCTACAAAGATATAAAAGTAATATGGCTCAAAGTATTCCAGAAGTTTTCTGAATCTCAGAAACTTACAGACTGACCTCCAGTTTTAGAAGTGAATGAAACTGATGTTTACTTTCTGGTGCCTTGAGTTAATCTTAATTTACAGTGACATAAAAAAGACATACTCGGGACGATTACAGAGCCTGGTTGTGCTTTTGATTCCACCTCCACATGTTCTTGAACAAGAACTGTAAGGTCCCCATGGTCCCCATTCACCATCTACAGGACGTGTCTCCATTTCTTTGTTTACACACAGCCCATGGTGGCAATGCTATAAGAATAGTAACACATACAAAGAAATAACATGTATTTTTAGCTAGAACATCACAATAATTGTAATAGCAGCATAAAGATTAGTAGAACAATCTGTAAATAATTTAAAGCAAACTTGTGGATTCAGAATGGGATTACCTTTGACACAAACATGAATATTTCCTACCACTGAGTACCTAAGATCTGTAGAAGGCAAAATATATATTTTTCTTGTCTTTGAGACTTAGAGTCTCACTAGGGAGGAAAAGAGGACTAAAGAGCAATATGAAAATGATGTCTTTTAAAAACATGTAATGAATACTGGTGCAATACTGTATATTCTCGTACATTCATTTTTTTACTTCAAGATAGCTATTCACTTTTCTACTCTTTTAGATAATTTCCTACTTTAACCCATCCAGAGTCTCATGTGATGAACTTGTTTCTTACTTTCAGCAGTAAAGGAAGAGCCACTCTACCAGCCCTAGAAACTTTTTTCTTTTCTTTTTTGCCAGTGTTAGAGATCAAACTCAAGGCCCAGAATATGCTAAGCAAGCAACACTGAGCATAGTCACAGCTGATTCAGAAACTTCCACTGATTCTGGTCTGCTCTAGTAATTTAATGTTTATGAAATCAAAGAGTTTGAAAGTTTACTTGCATTTATTTTTAATTACGGTAAAATAAAGTTTATCATTTTCATCATTTTTATGTGTGTGGTTCAGTAGGGTTAAGTATATTCACATTGTTGAATCAGGTTTCAGAAACTTTTCATCTTGTAAGACCCTGTACCCATGAAACAACTCCCAACCACCACTCTGTAAATAATACTCTGCTTTCTGCTTCTATGAATTTGACTATTCCAAATACCTCGTGCAAATGGAATCATACAGTATTTGTCCTTTGTGACTGACAATTCATTGAGCATCGTGTACCCAAGTGGAAACATATACTTATCCTATGACCCAGAAATTTTACCCCAAGACAAACATAAACATGTCTACAAGAAGACTTTTACAAGAATGTTCACAGCAGTTTAATTCAGCACAGCTAAAATTGAAGGATGATGAGAGAACAAATGAACTATGCATATTTATACAGCTGAATTACACTGCCATAAAAGAATAAGTGCTGATGCTCACTATAATATGAAGTTCAAAAACATTACGTGGGCAAAGGAAGACTGATTCATCCCTCAACCCCCCAAAAGGTATACTGTGTGGTTTCCTTTACATTAAGATCAAGAGTAGACAATCCAATCTATGGAGACAGAAACTAGAACAGGTGTTGTCTCTGGAGGGAAGGGAAATTGTCTAGGAACAGGTGAGATTGAGCTTTTTAGAGTGATAGAAATGTTCTAATTTTGAATGGGAGTTTGGCATCTACATTGTTAGCACATATCAAACTTTACACTTAAGATTTCTATGTTTGGTAGGGTGCTGTAACTCATGCCTAGCTACTCAGGAGGCGGAGATCAGGAGGATGGTGGTTCAAGGCCAGCCCAGGCAAAAAAGTTAGCGAAACTCCCATCTCAACAATAAAAAGCTGGGTGTGGTGGTGCACACCTGTCATAGTAGCTATGAAGGAGGCAAAAATAGGAGAATCATGAGATCCTGGTTTTTTTTCTTTTTTTAAATAACTAAACCAAAAAAGGGCTGAGAGCATGACTCAAGTGGCCTAGCAAGCACAAGGCCCTGAATTTAGACTGTAGTACAGAGAACTGTGTGTTGTACTCATATACCTTTGTTTCAAAAAATAACGTTTATGTTCAAACAGGAGTACACTATTAATAAGTTAGCCATAAATGGTATTATTTCCTGGTATTTGGAAATACACCAATCACCATTTGTACCACATGCAATCAATTCTGAAAGTTTATGACATGCAGGAAACTTGAAAATTTGCTAAGGAATGGAGTAAGGTCCAATCCTAAATCTTAATCAGGTGCCTTCTTAGGGAGTATCTGTCTTCTACCTGATGGACCAATATGGACAGCCCAGCATTCCCACTTCAAAGAAACTTGTTTCTCTGTCATCCTCAGATAGTCAGTCATTCTCACAAAGGCAACCTTTCCCTTATTTGCTTGTGTGTGTGTGTGTGTGTGTGTGTGTGTGTGTGTTGCTGGGGTTTGAACTCAGGGATTCACATTTGCTAGGGCATGCACTCTACCACTTGAGCCACGTCTCCAGTCCTCTTTGCTCTGGTTATTTTGGAGATAGAGTCTTGCTTTTAGCCTGGGTCAGCACGGACCATGATCCTCTAGTAGCTGGGATGATAGGCATACTCTACTATGTCCAACTTTTTCTCTTGAGAAGGGGTCTTGTGCACTTTTGCCCAGGCTGGCCTGGAATCATCTTCCCAATTTCAGCCTCCTGCATAGCTGGGATGTCAGGCACATCCCACCCCACCCAGCTATTGCCTGAGATGGGGTCTCTTAACTTTTTCTCTTGCCTGATATCAAATTGCAATCCTCCCTCTCTCAACCTCCCAAGTAGCTAGGATTACAGGTGTGAGCCACCAGCACCCAGCTGTTGGTCAATACTGATCACAGAAAATGACAGAGAAAAAAATTAAGTTCTTTTAATAATTCTTACACCCAAATAGAAATTTAATATCAGCTAAAAATCAAGTTTTAAGATTCAGTGCTAGCTGAACTAAAAAAGTCCACTGGAACTTTGATCCTAAAATCACAAAAACGGAATTAGGGCATGACACAATTTCAATGAGTACTTCAGCTACTATAAAAACTTCTGAAGTTCCAGATAAAACCTTAGTAACCAATTCATTTGTAACATAGGCAGTATTCACAGGAAACCCATGCCTTTTGGTGGAAAGCTGATTCCAAATGAAGGCAATAGCTGGAACAAACATCTCCATGAAGCAAAAGGTAGGGAAGATGCAAGTTCTCCTACTGAACTGGCCTTAGTTTTGAGAAGTTTTTATTCTTGCCTAGTGTGAAGGTAATAAAGAGGAAGCACCCACCAACCCGTTACCAAAGAAGTGTTCCTTTTACACATGGGAGCTCACAGAAGGCAGATGGACTAAAACTTTCTTTATACAGACAACACTGCTGCTAAGGTCAAAGGATCTGCCTTCATCATAGAGCACAAAGCCACAGCCTGCCATCCTCTTCACACATCATACGTGTCATTATCGTAGGAGCCTCTCCTCTGGTCATCCATCGTGTTGACCCATTTATATAAGCTCATGATTAATGTTTGAACAGTAAAGATGCAAGATGGTAGGCAGCCATTTTAGGGTTGTCATGTATTTTCATACATTTAGCAACGATAAAGATTTGAAGAAGCCAATAAAAACATTCAATCTGAACTGAATTTAATTAGAGGAAAATATATGCTATGAAAACATTTTTGAATTTGGGCAACTTGCTGAACTATTAGGATATCTTGATGTATATGCTAATTTTAGTAAGACTATAATTATATAAATACATATCCATTTAATTATTTATATGGTAACTATATGTAGCTTAATGATAACTATTTATAACTCTAATACTTTTTGGTTATATGTTGAAAAACAGGGTAAAATTAAGCATTTAATTCAGTTGACAATATTCGGTATCAAACCTTATTAACATTCATTCAACTAGCTGAACTAAAGTTGATAGTAAACAATGAACAGATGCTAAAACACAGAACAACCACATCCTTGGATAGGCTCTTGATGTCAGACTCACCCCTTCGAGAAAACCTACCATCCCAGGACCACAGTTCGTTCCATCTGCCAGTGGCATGTGCTGAGTGCGGCAGCCCTTGTGAACACCTTCTGCACTTGTGCACCACAGGCGCCGGCATTGCTTCTGTGGAAAACAAAGACAAGGGAACAGGAACAAGGATGTCAACATCCAGATCAATTAATTCTGTGTATGCATCAATTTATGGGTTGGTCTGATGTAGTTCCAAGTTCCATGGTCAAAGCTGGAAATATCAAACATGTTTGCTAAATAAATCACAGCCCCTGATTTTTCTCTAAACACAAAAAAATGGTAACATTTACTTTCAAAATTTCTTTTTTATTCACATATTATATGTTGAACAATGGGAGACATGAATTGGAATGGAAATGTCAAAAATTATGTGAGCCATTTTTCTCTCTTTACAAGATACTTTTGAAGGATTTGTTATTGTTAAATGTTATTCATAATGAGTCCCCCAAAATCCCCTATGATGCAGTGGTGGAATGTATGAATAATGTGTGCAGAAATACTGTATACTGAACTGAAGTTTCCTATTTTGTGAATCTAATACCTACTTTCAATTTCTGAATAAATGATTCTAAAGTTTTCACAAGAGATAAAGAGTCCACAGAGGATATTAGGAACTATAAGCAGTATAATTCCTTTCTTTCTCTGAATTTAAAGTTTATCTAGTGTCTAAATCAGGTCAGAAAGAAATGAATGTTTCATAATGAAATATTAAAGTAAATCTTCTCCCCTGCACACAGTGGATATTTAAAGGCATATTAAACTTTATATTATAAATTTGAGGTTTTTGGAATAATAGTCACTATGAAAAAAAGCTTTGTAGTTCCCTGCACTCACCATTAAGTGACTTTCATTCATTCATTCAACAGTCAATAATCATGTATTTTGTGGCAACCACCACGTGCAAATTCTGAATTGGACACTGCAAAGTCAGGGTGACTATCCCTTACTTGAAATGCTTGGAAACAGACATGTTTTGATTTTGGAATTATTTAGATTTTGAGTATTTGCATACAATGAGATATCTTGGGAAAAAGACTGAAGTCTAAATACAAAATTCACTTATGTTTCTATACACAGCTAACACATACATACTGAAAGCAATTTTTTTTGCAATATTTTTAGTGCACTTGTGTTTTGACTCATCATATGAGGTCAAGAGTGAAAATTTTTTCTTATGCTTCACATCGGCACTCAAAAAATTTCAGGTTTAGGGCATTTCAGATTTTGGATTTCCAGATTGGGCATGTTCAACCTATCCATAATTATTTAAGTGAATGAATGTCTGCAGTCCTGCTTCAGTGGTCCTCACAGTCTGGTAGAGCAGGAAGCAATTTGGCGAAGGTAAGCAGAAGAATGAAGAAAGAGGAAAGCATAGTCTGCCTAGAAAAATGAGGCATGAATTCACCAAAACAGTGACATTTACTCTAAACCAAATACTAAGCTTATCCCCAAAACAAGGAATCATTATTCTAGACCCAGTAAAAGTGTTAGAATCAGCTATGTGGAAGCTAAAATAACTAACCTATGAAAAATCCCCACAATAACTTATAAAGTAATAGCTTAATGAAAACTACATGGTATGTCCAAACTTTAATTCTTTCGGATTCAAATCTTTGTAAAAGGAAATGCAGTCTATTAAGTGATTCCTAAGGCCTTTACAACAACTAAGTATCAAAGCACCTACATTTTTCCCTCACTCCCAAAATATTGCCATTTGAGAATAAATATTTGAATACTTTTATTTCTAAATTATATTACTACTCTGTGGGTCTGTTTTCTAAATGAGAATATTTTGCAGGAATCTGTGAAAGTTAACAAAAATAATTTTTACATACCTAACATATCTGGCATACAGTAAGTACTCAGTTTTAACTTCTCAATTTTAGCCTCTTTCTGCCAAATGCCAGATTTTTTTAGGACTTAAAAATTACTTTCAGTTCCCCTTCTAAACAAGAGAATAAATGTACATTTCAAAATATATTCTAACTACAACTTTATAATAGTTTTTAAACAAAAGGATAGAATTTTTCTTACCAAATAGGGACACACTTGTGATCCAGGACCAAACATAAGTTCACACTGTTTATTTACATCATACATTAAGCCAGGAAGCTGTGCAGACAGATCGTATATTCTTCCATTTGGTTTGTCAAGAAGACATTCTCCATGACCTGTGCTGTACCAAGAACAGAAAACAAAACACTGTGAACACACATCAATACATTTCACTCTAACATTCTTTTTTCACATTTTCTGTATTTCCTCACTTTCAAAGAAAATGTCTGTATTTTTTCATAATTCAAAAACCAACTTATATTAGCATCAGTTTATCAAAGTGCTCATACATAATAACAACCTCACAGTTTACAAAGGACTTTTAATGTGTTCATTTGCACTTGATCTCCACAACTACTTTGAAGAAATTGAAAACAAGAATGGGCTGGGATGTAGCTCAGTGGTAGAGGCTGCCTAGCATGTGCAAGGTTCTAGGTTCAATCCCCAGCACTGCAATTTTTTTAAGTGACAAGTAATAAACATAAATTAATCAGAATATAACTTACATCTCACCAAAAGTGAGATATCCAATTGTAACGCCTCAGATGAAATATCCAAGCTGTCAAAATGTTGTCAAACTAAAAGCAAATTTTAAAATCATTTGAAGAAGGTATGTTTTTAGTTCTCAACAACAAAAAAGGAATTTCAAAAGTTTTCATGCTGTCTCTAATTTAAGAGGCTTCCTGGGAATGGAGTGAGCACAGCACAAGATCAAGATCACTGTCTTTAGAAGCTTACATTTTGTTTCTACCACTTTCTAGGATACATGCTGTAAATGAATTAATTAATTCTCCTAAGCCCAACTTTTTTTAATAAAATGAACATATAACTTTAAAATTCCCGTCAACAATAATAAAAATACACTCAGTGGTATTTTTCATGAATACATCATTCAATCATTGAGCAAAACTATGTGCAACCTGCGATTGCTGATGTTCATTCTTCTCAAGTCTGGCCTACTCAGAATAAAGCTCTGGAATGCCACTCCCCTGGGACAGATAAAATGGTATTGGGCAGGGAGAAAATGATGGTGCACAGCAGTGTCAGTTCTCTGCTGTGGACAGAACATGCCATTTACTTAAGGCTCTGGGCTGGTCTTTGTCCATAGATGCTTGATGTACATGGTCTAACCCAAATCCTACGGTAACAGAAGCAGCTTGAATATAGGATGGAAATCCAGGGACCCATTGCTTTCACCGTGCAGATTTCATTAAGTGGGAATCCACACTGCATAGTGGTTAAATAATTAACTAAGGGTATTTTTGGGGGAGGGGAGAATGTAAAGGTTAATATGTTTTTATTAACGCATGTTACTAGTACATTTCTGGTCATTCTTCTGCTAATGTTGCACTGGATAAGTCTGAATTTTGGTTGTGCAATTTGCTATTTCTCTCTTCTATAGCAAATTTACCAACCTCTTCACATCTCAGTTATTTCTTTAAAATAGGATTACTGTGGCCCCTTCATAAGGCCATGGATGACAATAATGCTGATTCAATTGAAAATTGATTTTATTTTCCATTTCTCATTAAATGTGATCTGATTAAATAAAAAAACTATGTGCAATCATCTATAGATCAGTAACAATATGTTGTGCTTTTAAATCAAATTTGTACATAAGGATCAGTTATCACTGCTCGTCATAATTGTACGTTATATTTATGAACATAAGTGTTAAAGCATGGTTTGACTTATTTCCATCAAGAGAGAGATAACCAGAAAATGTTCATACTGTTACACTGGTGATTAGAATGTATAATAGAAGGAATGAGGTAGGATTGCATTTATGCAAAAAGATTTTCGAGAAAGAGGCTGGGCTTGCCTTTAGGATGAGTGTAACTAGGAACCATTTGGATTTAAAAATTAGGAAGTAGAGAAAACTGTAAAATGGTAACGATTAGGCATGAAAAACTTGGATCTGACTCATTTCTTCAGCGATAAGAACTTCCAAAAGAGCTCATAAAGTCAGAGACTCTGCATATCTGTGATGTTAGACAACTGTTTTGACAACTCATCATTTGATTTGACCTACTGTCTGTCCTTTAGGGGCACTCAAACTTCAGCACTAAAACTCCTTTCAAAATATTACCTACTAGCTGAAAAATTCAAAACTATATAAGGAAGTTGTGATTACCATTAAGTCTCCTCACATACAGAGTTTTCATAACAAAAAAGGGTCCAGATTTTTAAAAATGGTACATAGGTCTAAACTATAATAAAAATGTTTTTACAAAAGAGTGAAATAATATGTACACACTCTTTCCTTGTTTTTAAATATCCATTTTTTACAGCATAAAGTAAATTTAAATTTAAGCACTGAAAAACTAAACAGAAATTGAACCTCTTTAAAAGAATCTACAAATTCTAAATCTTATAAATCTTATAATCTAATGAATCATTCAACTAATGTAATACAAATCCAGACTTACTCTAGGAATTCAGTGATATATTTCTGACTACATTTTGACCAGGTCCAAGGACTTGTGTGGTAATTCAAAGTTGGGGCCATTACATGGTACTGATGTTTAATTCCAGCTTCTTTGCATTTAAAGCTATCATCATGTGGAACATTAAATCTAAAAAAAAAACCAAACACTTAAAGAAGACTATCAAAATGCACACAACATTAATAACAGATCTCCTTTATACTACTGTACAATATAAAATACAGATAAATCTGGTTACATCAAATTTTGTACTCTTGGTCTCTCCATACCTAAGTTACTATAATTTCCTGTTTAGAAGTACACAATTTCTAAGAAACACTAGATTATATCTTTGATCAGTTATACAGTCTGCAAGTTTGCCATCTAAGTCTCAACAATTAATTCTGTCTATTTTATATTGAATAACCTAAATTATGCTTCTGGTTTATAATTAATAAATGACAATCAATAGAACTGGGATAATAAAACCATTCCCAAAGGGCAAAAAAATCTCATAATGAGAACAAATAAATAATTGACAGGTCAGCAACAGATCCTAGACTATCTTTTGTGGATTGAAGTAGAAACTCAAGTTTAGAAGGAATGCTGAAATCATGGAATTCAGGTTTTTATCTGCTAAAATTTGTATTTAAGCTGCTGTTTCAATTAAACTATTTAACCATATTCTAGAGATACCAAGAGTTTCTAAGGAAAAAATGTCTAGCTGAGATAGTTTTTTTTGCAAGAATGTTCTTCTGCTAGACAGCAGCTTTGAAAACCAACAGAGGGTCTTCCCAGATATTATTGCAGAATTCCAATAGTCTTCGGGTCCTCTCTTTATTCTACCTCCTTCAACCTACTTCAAAAAACAAAAGTGAATCTGCAACTTGCTGATGATCTTGAGATACAACTATGCTACAGTGAACTGAAGAGGTAATGGTTGTTTCAAATGATTCTATATGAATGCTCTAATGACATCTCAAGGCATGACCAGGCAAAGAAATATGGTCAAACTAAAAGAGGCAACTATAGCCTCAATTTCTCATTAGTAAATAACCAAGAAACCTCAGGATTCACTTTGAGGGTATATCTGGCATAATCTTTCAGAGGATGAGTTTGTAGGGCTTTCTGACTTTTCATGACAGAATGTGATGGGAAATAATGTCCTCCATTCTTAGAGCATAGAATTCCAGCAGAATTTTGGCAAAGCAGGAAAAGATAATAAGAACTCCAAATTTTTATGAGAAACTATGAAGTTAAGGGAGGGCTTTAAAAAAGCTTTTTAAGTAAATAAGAAATTTCCATGGGCCACATCTTCTGCTGGGGCTCTGAGCTATAAGAGCAAGAAATGAGTTGGTATTACGAATATCTTGGGAAGTTCCCCAGAACTGGGAACTCCTGAAGGCCCTCCCATAAGATAGTAGAGGAAAGTACCTGGTCATGTATAGGATAACAAGGAATAGAGGCCAGAAGTGCTTCTCCTGTAATCCAATACAGTAACTGAAATAAAAGAATTCCCAAGTTCTAGTTCTTTGCTTAGTCTGTTGATCTGTGCAGCCTGTCTGACCTAACATAGATCACAAAAGAGCCAGAGTTAGCATTTCAGGGATGAAAATTACACTAGTAATATTTTATGAAGAAATAAAGGTGCTAATTTCTCAACTGAAGATAGAATCTTGGGCATTCTGTACAATGATAAACAGAAGCCACATTGCTGAGTGGCAGAGGGTACTTACACATGCCCAAGCTCATGGGCTATAGTAAAAGCAGCACTGAGTCCGTTTTCTTCACTAATCGAGCAGCTCCGCAAAGGATCACACATTGTGCCTAATTCTGCTAAGCCTGAAAAAATTTCACATTTGTATTTCATCAAAATCATACTGTCCAAATCATAACATAAGAATTAAATCTTTAAGCATTTAACTAATGGCATTACTACATGTAAATGAATGCAGAATTGGGTGTTACTACTTTTTAGGTGAAAGTGAATGGATGAGTGAGTCTGCAGTTGAAATATTGTTTGCAAATTCTCAGACTCTTTCACTCAAGGAAATAATCCAAAAGATACGGGTTGAGCAAATAATCTTTTTAACATAAAGGAAAAGGAAAAAAATATAGTTGGCCTGCTGTGAATAGTAAAAAAGGCAATGAATGTATTAATTAGTAACAGGAAAAGTTAATAAGAAAATGCAACAGCACAGAGCTCTACAGATCTATGAAGTTCCTTTAATTTTTAAAGTTTGAAGCAACATACAAATATTTAACTATCAATCAGATGAAAATTAAAATAGTAAAATATGTTAAGTGCTTAAAATGGTACCCAACATTTAATATATGTTAATAAAATAAAGCACGATTATGACATAACAATTATGCAAAGCACTCAATCTTGTAACTATTTTAGCAACAGGAAATAGGATCTATTCACTCCTATATAATATGTAGCTTAAACATCCTGTTGGAAGATGAAGGTAGTATGACCTGGCTGGACATCAAAGACAGCAATATACAGAAGTCCTCCAAAAATAATACAGTCTAAGAAGTTCAAAATAAATGTTCATTACAGTAATCTATATTCTGTCATCATTAAAATTATATTTTTACTTTAACATTGTGCAAATATTATCTTTCAATATTTTGTTACAAATTTATCTGCCCTCCTATGATGATTCATTTCACAGAAGAGATGAAATTTCATACGTATCAGTTTCTTACTGTGAAAGTTTTGCATTTAGAAGTGTTTCAGTTCAGAATAAAAAGACTCGTGTTACTATATTTTCAGTCTTCCTAAGTAGTCTTTTACTTACAAAAATTAAAAACACTAACATCATCCTACCATTAAGTTACATTTCCTAATATCCAGAATAGTTACTTTTGAGCATTAAAAGAATTGAAAGTAAACTAAGGAATCTAAATATTGCTGGGGAAAAAAGTCAAAGACAAAAAGTTCATTAGCCAAAGAAGAAAGATTTTCCCTCTTTTTGAATCTCTTACCAAAAGTCCTTGCTTGGGCAAAGTCCTCCCTAAAACATTTTCTTGGTTAGAATTAAAGAATAAGCAAGCAAAAAAGACAAAAGAAAAAAAGTAAGAAGGAAAGAATTTTTCTTTAAAATTCTTTAGTAGAGAATATGAAGGAAATCTTATTTTCCATAAGATTCCAAAATCCATGCTTGCATATACAATGTTTTAGGTATTCTCATTTTATTCTGCATCTCTCCTCTGGACTAAGTTAAAGGTGAGCCCATTTCTTTCATGTACATTCCAAGGCTCCCATGTCTGCACTCTGCCGAGTGACTTGGTTCCAATATGCTCATTTTCAGAGCTGAGGATACTTGGAATCAATACCCATTCCTTTATCTCTCAAACTTTACACTTCATGCAAAAAATATACACATTCTCAGCTTAATGGGTTTAGTCACATAATGGATTTGTGAGAATGTGAATTGCATATGATTAGGGACCAGGCTCAAATATTCCTCTAAAGCTCACAAACACTAACAAAATTGGAAGTAAATGGTTAGCATTACAGTGCCAAGCAAATAGTTGATGGTTTGTATCTAGATTCACTCAAGCTGACTCTATGTTCTCTGAAAGGTGTCTGAGATAGAAGACAGCATAGGCTGCAGTTTGATACAGGGCCCTGTGTTTCTAAATACAAGACACTGCACTGTGTTACCCAATCTAACCATCTGGAAGAGTGAAAACATTTTTTCAGCATATTTGGCAAAATACGCCCAGAGACTGAGGCAGCAATACATGCAAAAGACATAATAGGAATCCTTGTAATTATTACCAACATTTTGTGTTTACCATTATTAACTCTTGGATTATTTTTTGACATATTTTAGATGAGAAAATAAGATAATAATACTTATGTTACTATAAGGTGTATATAGCCTTGGGCAAATGGTTTATTCTTATTTATAAAACTGGAATAACACTTGTACTTCCTTAATGACTTATTGTGAAGATCAAATTAAATCAAATCACATAAAACCTTAACATGGTGGTATATGACATGTAAGAAGCAGTCAGCTTAGTGATCGTTATCATCATTACTCTTGACTTTACAATAATAATGCTTGATGATAATAATATTCTCATTGTCAGTCTGTATTTCCAAATGCCACTATAATTTATGTGCACATGAGTGGCTAAAAATTGCAAAAATGTACATGGGACTAGGAGACCAGTCAAATATCTAGCAGTGAACACTTAAAAACATTCAGAAACTACAAATACTCAGTGCTACTTTAAGTATAAAGATGTACTAACAGAACATAGACAGTATAAGAAATATATTTAAAGTTCTTATTAAGTGGTTAACTTATAACATCTACTAACAAAGCCAGAGAAAATGAGCAAAAATCACACATTTGGATCTTAAATATTTCAGATGTGGGAATTTTCAAAAACAAAATATAAAATTAACTTCATATGAAAATTCTAGGAGAATATGAAATTCAATAATTACAATAAGTATAAATTGACTAGCTTTCCCATTTAAATAACAAGCATTATTGTGTTTGATATTTTAACAACCCAATTATTTGTTATTTCCAAGAAAAAAAAATGTAGTGAATAAAGGCATGGAAAATTGGAGGAAAAATTATTTCTAGCAAATATCCAACAAGAAAAAGTTGAGGTATGTACTTGATTATCAGATCTATTTTAAATATATAAATTTGCAGAAAATATTACATATTAGTTAAAAATATTTAAACAGTCCTATTTAAATGAGTAGATAAATACTTTTTTAGGGTTTGATATGCTAGTTCTAAATTTTTGTAGATGGGCAGAGGTTCAAGAATAGCTAAAGAAAATAAGGTAGAGGTATAAACCATATCAATTATTTAGACTTACTATAAAATAATAAAAGTGAATATAGTATGAAATTGGTGCATGAATTAGATAAAAAGTATGTCCATGAAGACGATATGTAGACTTTAATGAACACAGAAATTTGATGCAAAACATTACCAATTCTAAGGAAAGGAGGGAAATCTTTCATTGCATGGTTTAGGAATAGAAATGATGCCAATAAAACTATATCCCTTTCTGATAACATATAAAAATGTACCTGCATGAATCAGAGATTTAAATATGAAAGGAAAAGACTTAAAATATTTATAAGAAAACAGGATGATATATTTACACTCTGAGTTCAAAAAGGGCTTCTTAAAATAAGATACAAAAATGTTAAGCATAAAAGAAGTTTGTGCATATTTTTACACAAAAATGAACAAAATTCAAGCAATAAATTGTTAAAAGATATTTATACTACCTATAAACCACAAAGGGTTTGTAATCAAGAAGTCACAAAGAATATCTGAAAAGCAGTAAGAAAAAACAAATCGCATTCCAGAAAAAAAAATGTGCAATGTTTCTTTCATTTATTTCATTCTTCACATTTCTTACAGAAAAGGTAATACCAAAACATGTAAGTATATGAAATTATGTTCAACCTTGTTAGCAATCAGGGAAATAAAAACTATGTCTCTCATGAAATATACTACTTTTCGATTGGTGAAAATGAGACATCTGAGGACACCTGTGTCAACAAGGTACAGTAAAAAGGAATGCTTACTCTATTGATAAGGAGTGCAAGATGTAAATTAGTTGACCACTTTAGAAAATAATTTGGTATGTCTTACAAAGTTGAATACAATTGAATATCACGTGTAGACAAACAAGTGCTTAGAACTAGTGTTTCAGATTTTAGAGTTTTTCAGGTTTTGCAAGACTTTACCAAAAATCCAAACTAAGTTGCTTCAAAATGTTTTTGAATTTCATGTGAGCACTCAAAAGTTTCAGAATTTAGAGCATCTCCAATTGGGGAAATATATTAGCACACATAATAGCATAGCAATTTTAATTGTAGAAATTCATCCCAGCTCTTTATAGCAAGGTTCATGATTTTAAAAAGCTGCAATTAGCCCAATTCCACTAACAAGACATAGATATATTCCTGTGGATGAAATATTATACAAATGTAAAAATGTATAAACCGCAACTACAAAGTACGAAAAAAAGTGAAATCAAATAATTTCTTATGTAGAAACACATGTATATGCAACACTACTGCTTTTCAAGAGTAAGTGATAAGTACTAAATTCATGGTACTGATTACCTCTTGGGGAACAGCAGAGAAGTGGGATAAGGACTGAACACAGGTCATGCAATAGTATGACCAAGTTTGCATCATAACCATTCTTCTTATTACTTTGTTTTAAATTGGCATATAGTTTATTGTGTGTTGTATCACATGGATCAAATATTACATAGCAAAACAATCTAAGTTAAATATGTCAATCTTTGCCCATCACTTGATATTTACCAATTGGCAAATAAACATTAGTTCTTGTTTTTCTATAAAATTTACAGAAGCAGAATCAAATAACAGTGAGAAATATACTTGTTTATCAAAACAAATAATCAAAATGATCAAAATGTCAAATAAAAGGAAAATAACCTAAATACTTTAAATAATTCAACAATTATAAAAGCTAAATTTAATTAACAAAATAACTTACCTAATGTATCACATTTCTCTCTAGCTCCACAAATGTCTTCCCTTAAAATAAAAGATTTTGAAATATTTTCAGAAAGCATGTTTGCAATGAGCCAAAATAAAAATAAAAACATTTAACTATGAGCATGACTAACTAATTTCCAGTTCTTCTTATTAAGTTCTCAAAAAATTTAAACTTAAAATAACACCACTGACACATATCAACGATAGACACTCCATAGAAGTCAGCATTGTTAAACAGTTAAAACTTTAACCGAGTTCATCAAAAAACATTTTTAGTATATTTTTAAACTCTATGCTTTTTTACAGTATAGAACAGTTTACCCTCTTCTCAATCAATGTCATCAAGAGCTTCATTTGTTACATAAAATACTGATGTTTTCACACTTTATCAAATTGCATAGTTTTTTTTACTCTGCTTAGTCCCTCACCACTCAATTTGATGGCCCTCTTACATCTGTTGTGGCCAGTCTTTGTGGCTTGATCTCTAACAAGCACCTAGGATGGGACCATGAACTATGATAGAGTAATATGTAGAACTTAAGCCAATTCTGCTCTAGTTTAAAAGGAAAGAAGTAGATGGGCTACATGTCAGCTATTCTGCATGGGCTTAGGGTTTTCATTTCAAGGTTCTAGAAAGCTGACATTTCCTTGAGGTTGATTCCAAACAAAGGTAAGCCAATCAACTCAATAAAAACCTAGAAACTATAGATTCTGGCAGTATGGGTGTTGCTGAAACCATTAGCACTACACAGAAGTGTCTGTAAAATGGAAATGATTTTATAATAGCAGAAGCTGTTTTCATATAAGTAGGATTGAGAACAACCCTAGTAAAGGCAGGCTTGTAACGTGAAATGCACTGCACATCAAAATACATAGATAGACAGACAGATAGGTAGAGAGAGAGAAGTGCAGGAAGTTCAAAAGGTGGACAATCAAATAAATTCAGCCACTTTTTCCCCCAACCAAATGAAACATGAAGAGGAAAATGATTAAAACCTGCTCTCAGTTGCATAACTACATTAATTTCCAGAAGTATTCCTAATTTTCTCATTCTATCACTAACATGATAATGAAATTATTCTGCTTAGATTAAACCATTACTTTAAAAATCTGCATTGCTAATTTCCTAAGGAACTACCTAGAATTTGGTCTGAAAGGATAGACAAAAGCTTTCATTCAATACAGTTTTCATAAACACTTTTACATATTATGGATAAAGAATTCAAGTAATAGGAAATATCAGTCATCATGCAGGAAAGAAAGAGTAAAACTTGCAGTTGAAAGGATCATTTCTAAAACTACCTGGTGATGAGAACGGCAGTATCATGGTGGGCAGGATGTACGTCATCAAGCACGTTCTGGGTTTGTTGCCATAGACAGAAGTTGCGTAATGTGGTAGCTGCATTAAAACTGATGACTGGTCCTTCCTGCACAAAATAAGGAGGAGCTCAATATGACAGCAAAACATTTATGTATGTCCTCTTATCCTCCCAAACTTATGCGCATCCATACGATTTACCAAGTAACACTTTCACAGGCAAATGAAGGAATGGCATTAGCTCTCCTTTACATATTTAATTAGAAATAATTTTAAGAAAGGGAAAGGAGAATAATGGAGGGGGTGAACCAAGCCAGGGTGTATATATGGAAATATCACAACGAATCCCTCTGTATAACTATTAAACACTAATAAAAATGGTAAAAATTAATTTACTTCCTTAGACTGGAAAAAAATTAAAAATAACACATGGTGTTCAAAACTGAATTTAATTAGATGTCAATGTAACCATCAAATATTTAGGATCAAAAAACTAAAACTAACGTATCATATGTCCCTCAACATTGTGATTTCAAAAGTGAATATTTGGATGCTTTGAACTTTAGATTCTTAAATCATTTAACTCATTTTTGTTACTTCCTTGGTTCAGTTAAACACTGCTATTATTCCATTTTAATTCCATCACAACATAAAAAGGTAATATCATTCCTTTTTAAATTAAGTTTTTGAAAGTTTTAAAAATATTTCTAAAAGACTTTTGTGATCTACATATAATCCCACTAAAGGCCTACTATAAAAAAATGACTTGTAGAACTGCTTCTTACCTGTTCATTATGAATTATAATTAATTTTACAATAACTATGTTTATAAGATTTCCAATACTTGAGTCCTTGTAGATTGCTGCAACCTGAAAGTAAAAACATAGGATTATATGCCTAAAGTGAACATTTCTTCTTTAAAGCATATTGAAATCAATACTAGAGCAGCAATTCTTCAATTTAGCTACACAATGGAAAGTCTTGGAGAACTTTTACAAATTATCATGCTCAGACTACATCCTTATCAATTAAATCAGTTTCTCTAGGGCTGTAAGACAGGTCTCAGCATCTTTCAAGGTTTTCCAGTATATTAATGATTCTAATATGAAGCAAAGCTTGAAAACTAGTATCTGAAACCGTGCTGATGAGATTGGTCTATGGGCCATCAGCATCCAGAAACAGAAACTCTCAGAATCCCCAAGTGATTAAAATATGTATTAGTTTGGATAGTACTGTTGTGGATGACTTGGCAAGAAATTCACTTCATTCTGGGCCATAAACCACACTTTATATGACCACAACATTCCATAAAAACATGTAAGTGCTGCTCATTCTCTTCTGGTAGTTTTACTTAATATTTTCTCCCTATAGTATTACATACTTCCAGTTTTTAATGTGTTTTTTTTTTTAACATTTAGCACTAGAGGAATCCAGATTCATCTGGAATTGAATAAGCAGTCATACAAGAGGTCATTCATTGTAAGCTGACCCTCAGTTCTCTGAGGCTGGTGAACTCAAGTCTGTGAGGTACTTTGGATGGGCTCTGCCTGGGCTCAGTTTATGATTTATTGTTGCACGCTATCTGTTTTCTAATCCATAAGAATATGAATTCTAAGTCCTTAGAGAGTGTAGCACCACAGAAGGAATGCCTTCCATGGCCAATGCCTTCGCCTTGCATTCCTTTAGAGAAACAATCCGCTCTGGACTGGGGCCACCTGTGCACTGAAAATTGTTTCTAATTCCTGGATCATCTTCTGATGAGCTACTGCCCAACCAAGACAGAACATTGCTTCAGGGAGGGCATCTTTTTTTCATTTGCTTATAATTAAATGTTTAGTATCTACCCCTTGCTTGGTTGACTAGAGACACAGAGATAAAGAAGAGGACATGATCCCTGGTTTTATAGAGCTTGGAGGTTGCTAAAAGTATAGTACAGGAACCTCACTCTACCAGCCAATGTTACTTTAACAGAAAATATGATATGACCACTGCCAGTGCCTCTTATACCAAATAGACTACCAGAACCAAGGTCAAAAGCATCTCTAGGCTGCTGACACTGCAAGGTCAGGTCAGCATGGGCATAAATACACATTTCAGTGCCTTTACTGAGCTTTCAGCTGTGTAGCCACAAATACAAGTTTATCATGTTCATCTGCAGTGATGCCTTTGGCTCTGGTGGTAGCATTGTTTGGAAAGAGTGGCAGAAGCCCCAGTGAGACTGGCAGTAATTTAAGACAGAGATAGGTAGATGGTTGGTGGTTTCAAGCAAGTCTGTTAGGACTATAGTATTGATCATTTTAAAATGGGAGCTGTGGAAATTCACAGTTAAATTTATAAACATTCAATTTACATGTAACTTGGAAATATATACCTACCATAGAGAACATAGACTCACATTCCCAACTTCAGAGTTACCCTATAATCCTATCTAAGAACAGATGCATTTCTAAGTAAAGCCACAAGGTAAAAAACACACCTCAAACTTTTTAAAAAGGCTCTTTTCCCCTAAAAATGCACAATTGTGAAGACTCTTGCATCAAAGGTAAACATATATTCCCAATACTCTATAGAGAAAACAACTTAACTATAATGAGGATTACAAATGGCTAATTACTACACTCATTTCTCCAAAGATAATGACTACAAATAATAATCCAGATGTCATGATTTCAGCTAAAAAATTTAAAGCCACAAAAATATTTTTTGGTTTCAGAAGGAAAAAGATGCTGTACATCTAACAAAAGAAACATATTCCCTGTTGTTTTAGCAGTATGACTTAAAATACTACAAATACCCTTAAGGCACCATAAGGGGATGATAATGCAGATAATCATTATGCAAGGTGTGAAAGTTATAAAACAGAGTCCTTTAAGCTAAACAAAGAAAGATCCAAATTCTAATAGACACATTTTTTTTATTATTATTATTGTTTTATTATTCATATGTGCATACAATGCTTGGGTCATTTCTCCCCGCTGCCCCCCATCCCCATCGTCTCACCCCTACCTCCCCTTCCTTCCAGGCAAAACCTGTTCTGCCCTTATCTCTACTTTTGTTGAATAGAAGACATAAGCAATAATAAGAAAGACAAAGCATTTTTGCTAGCTGAGATAAGCATAGCTATACAGAGAGATTCCTAGCATTGCTTCCATGCACAAATGTGTTACAACCCAAGTTGATTCATCTCTAATTGACCTTTTCACTAGTTCCTGATTCCATTCTAATATTGACCTCTGTCACTTTAGGGTTTCTGTAATAGTTCCTCTACAGTGGGGACATCAAACACTTTCATGTTTTGGGTTTTCTACCTTTCCCTATTCCTCCTGTATGTGCTCTCCCTTTATCTTGTGACCCAAGTACAACCACACTGATGTATTTGCCCTAGATCTAAAGTCCACATATGAGGGAGAACATATGATTTTTGGTCTTCTGAGCCTGGCTAACCTCGCTCAGAATGATGTTCTCCAGTTCTATCCATTTACTAGCGAATGATAGAATTTCACTCTTCTTCATGGCTGAGTGAAATTCCATTGTGTATAAATACCACATTTTCTTGATCCATTCATCAATAGTGGGGCATCTTGGCTGTTTCCATAACTTGGCTATTGTGAACAGTGCTGCAATAAACATGGGTGTGCAGGTGCCTTTGGAGTAACCTATGTTGCATTCCTTTGGGTTTATTCCCAGCAGTGGGATTGCTGGATCATATGGCAGATCTATGTTTAGATTTTTAAGAAGCCTCCAACATTTTTTCCAGAGTGGTTGCACTAGCTTGCATTCCAACCAGCAGTGTACCTATTTCAAAACAACAGTCTGGAATTCAGGAACGTTCTAAGAAGTACATACGTATGTTGATAGGTGCAGATACATGTGTATATAAGATGGTACAGGGTGCCAACACTAACACAGAGCTCAGGCTCTTTTCTAGCACTAAAATTCTCTTCTATGGTAATGGCATGACCACTGTTCCACAGACTCCTAGTTATTGCAAATCCAGATTTGCTAAGATGGCTCTATTGGTAATAGTCTTCCTCCATCCCTACAAATATAATTCCAAATTTCTGATTTAGAGACTGCAGCAGTAGTCACAATTCTACTCTGTTCAGAAACATGGTGAGATTTTAAAATGTAGATACAAAGATCAATGCAACCAGGACATTCCCTGTCACTAGAGAGCAGAAGCCATTCGTGTGAAGAAGTAAAGTCCAATTCAAGCATTTTCTATAAGTAGTTTCAGGGACTTTCAAACATTTCAGAAAGTTGTCCAAATAATAGAATAGGATATCTGGTATAATCTAATTAAACTAAATTTCAATGAAATGCTATTTTTAGCTTAAATGTAGATACAACTTGCATCCATGTAGAATTTGGAAAAGCATTTTTAAAAGTGATAAGTAGATAAAATATTAAGCTAAGCATTTTAAGTAATATAAAAGTTATAGTAAGTTACTTACAATTGACATTAGTGTTAGGACATAGTGCTGCAGATTTTGGCCATGATGGTGGACCATTTTGGCATCCGCTGTAACCATAACTTCCACATATCTTGGGTATGATAAAAAACGTTTATTCCTGGAATGTAATTGACTTCTTTCATCTTCCAATGACATATTTTTTGAAGGGTATCTGAAAACTATTTCCTTGTTTACATTAAAATCTTCATTCATGTTGCTGTAGTTATGAAAGGGTAAAGCCGTTTTCTTTACTTGATTTTCTGAGAGGATAAAAGAATATAATGAAGAGTCATTAAATTGGACGGGACTAAAAATATTGCACCAAACAGAATAGCCAAAATATTTAATGCTCAGCCATCTGCTTCCAATATTAAACAACAAAAGGACAAACAAATTATTATTTAAAACAGGACTACACTGCCTTTCCATGAGCATTACTATTCACAATAATAAAACATCAGAAACGTTCACATTTTCATAGGGTGCACTGACAAGACTATCTAAGTTTCATTTTAACAGGTGTGATCATTGAAAATCATCTCATTCCAATGTTTTTCTTGGTAAGTAAATTGGGTCTTTAAGTCACCAGTAGCATTTGCTCTCGATACAGAGCAATCACATTTTGTAAGGTGAAACACCATAAACTATAAACTAAAACAAACTTTGTTATACAGTATTCAAAAGACACCAAAATTAATGTAAATTAAGCCATATTAAAATAGGAGACAATTCAAAACCAGAAAATCAATTGTAGTTGTAAATTTTTAAATAATAATACAAAACACCTGATTACTTCTATTTTGTGCTCATATATAAAATTATTGAACATTGTAGATTATTAGAGTATCTACTTTTAAGTAATATGCATAGAAAACTATGCATTAAAAATTCTCAATTATTTATGCAGTGGAAAAAATTCACAGGCAACATGGCTGCTTGTCCTATATCTTTTCTCCTTCATTTTGTTCCTCTCCTCTCTTTTTTGCTTTCTTGTTTTGCTAGTTTTCCTGCCTATTGTTTGGTGGTAGTATTTTTCAACAGAAAAAATGGAGTAAAGGAATCAGGCAAGAGGAACTAAAAAGCCTTAAGTAGTTCATAAATCATATAACTAATATCAAAATGATCAATAACCCAAATTTAGTTGTACAAGAAAATTAGACATATGAATATATAACTATATATTTCATTATTCAAAGAATTCACTTCATTTAAAATATAAGTGTCATCCTATAGTTGGAAGAAACAAATCAAAGTCCTTAGGCACTAAGTTTCCACAGATGAACAACTTTTTCTACTCCCTAGAACCATCTAGCTTTTATGATTACTAGGTTTTTAGGTCATCATTTATTGGATTATCTAATCTATGTCAAGAAACAGTTAGAAAGTAAGGAGCAAATATCACCTCATAAAGCTTACCCTGTAGTGGAAAGAGAACAACAAAAAAACCCACCAGTTTACGGATAAATATTCAAATGCTTTATTTAAATGCCTCAGTAACAATTCAACCAAGAAAAAAAATTGATTCTACCTATCAGGATGGCTAACATTTTAAAAACTGATAATACCAAATATTGTTATCATTACTTTGATAAACTATCTGGCAATTTCTAAGTTAGATATTCACCTACCATATAACACTGAAATTCCATACCTAAATATGCATCTATTATATAGTCACTAAAGATTCATAGAAAAATTATCTAGCAGATTTATTGGCCAAAGGACTAGAATAAAGACACTAAAATAAATCCTAAGATCAAATGATCTTCCACAAAGTTGCCAAGACCACTCAATGTATAAAAATTAACTCCAAATGGTTAAAGACCTGTAAGTAGGGACTGAATCTATAAAACTCCTAGAAGAAAACATGGTGGAAAAGCTTATGACATTAGATTTGGCAATTAGTTCTTGGATGTGATACTAAAAGCAAATGCAAAAATAACCAAAACGAACACTTGTGACTATATCACAGAAAAAGTTTCCTTATCTCACAAAAGAAAATCAAAAGGCAGTAAGTATGTTAAAAGCGCCCTAAAATTTTTGGTAATCAGGAAAATACGAGTTAAAAACAGTAACACATGATTATATACCTGTCCAAATGATAAAGTGAAAAAAAAATACTGACAGTAACAAGGTGTGGTGCTACAATGTTGGAGAACTGAGACTTTCACATATTGCTGTTAGCAGTGAAACAATCAACAAGGAAAGTCCAAGTGAATATTTTGTACTGGTTCATTCACTCATGAATATTTATTACATAATTAACAGGTTCTTAGTAAACAGCAATAGATCAAGCTAATTTCATTAAAACAACATGTCAGCTTTCACCACTATCATAAACTACTGTTGTAGTAATACTAGCTAACGCAATAAGATAATAAAATGAAATAACAATTACAGAGAAAGTTTTTTCATTATTTTTCTAATTTGATTTTACAGGCGAAAGGCTTTTATAATAACTCAAAAAAACCAAGAGACCAAATTAAAATTCTGTAAATTAACAATCTCTTCAAAAGAAAAGCTGAATAAAGGAATGTTGAAATAGTGTTAGCAGAATGAATTTAGGTTTATTCATTTTGACATGTGAAGATGTCCATGATGCATCTGTAAGTTAAAAATGTAAGTGGTACAGGTGTTGGCGAGGATGCGGGGAAAAAGGAACCCTCTTACACTGCTGGTGGGAATGAAAACTAGTACAACCACTCTGGAAAAAAATTTGGAGGCTACTTAAAAATCTAAACATAGATCTACCATATGATCCAGCAATACCACTCTTGGGATATACCAAAAAGAATGTGACTCAGGTTACTCCAGAGGCTCCTGCACATCCATGTTTATTGCAGCACTATTTACAATAGCCAAGTTATGGAAACAGCCAAGATGCCCCACTACCGACAAACGGATTAAGAAAATGTGGTATTTATACACAATGGAATTTTATGCAGCCATGAAGAAGAATGAAATGTTATCATTCGCAGGTAAATGGATGGAACTGGAGAACATCATTCTGAGTGAGGTTAGCCTGGCCCAAAAGATCAAAAATTGTATGTTCTCCCTCATATGCGGACATTACATCAAGGGCAAACACAACAAGGGGATTGGACTTTGATCACATGATAAAGCGAGAACACACAAGGGAGGTATGCCCAAAAAACTAGACAGCATTTGTTGCCCTCAACGCAGAGAAACTAATGTAGATACTTTAATGAGACAGAGGCCAACAGGAGAAGGGGACCAGGAACTAGAGAAAAGGTTAGTTCGAGAAAAATTAACTTAGAAGGTAACACACATGTACAGGAAATCAATGTGAGTCAATTCCCTGTATAGCTATCCTTATCTCAACTAGCAAAAACCCTTGGTCCTTCCTATTATTGCTTATACTCTCTCTTCAACAAAATTAGAGATAAGGGCAAAATAGTTTTTGCCAGGTATCGAGGGGATGGGGAGAAGAGGGAGGGAGTGGGGGGAAGGGGGGAGAAATGACCCAGACATTGTATGCACATATGAGTAAAATAAAATAATAAAAAAAAGTGGTATATAAAGTTTGATTCCGTTTTGTATCAAAATATACAAATACATATTAATAAAATTTGCATAATAAACCCAAAAGGTAATGAAAGTACACACCCCAAACTTTTAACATTGGCTAAATTGGTTAGCATGACAGAGAGGATAGAAAAACCATTTAATAATTTCCTTTAACATCTCAGCATCTTAGTGCCCTTCAAATCATTATAAGCTTATTTTGTTATTACAACTTTTCAGAAATAAAATATACCTTGAAAACAGTGTCAAGTGATATTCTGTAGGCTAAATATTAATCACCTTTTCTTGGTATTTATCCCTAAGCAGTGTAACAAATGATGATAAAATGACCTTTGCAAATACCCTACGTAAAAGGCCATTCCTCAAAGCACATTAGTCAACTCAATTACATCACTTCTATACACTGCTTCTCTTTCTATTTCTGTTACAGCAAGTCAAATGTTAAAATGATGTCTTCTCTTTTGGTATTAACAAGCGCAGGACAACCTCAAACTAATTTAGACCAAACCTAAATACAAGATCTCACACATCATGCAACAATGATAGTCTGCCTGCTAGAACATAAAATACTTAAAAATTGCATCGCACATTGTAGCACTTACACAACATGGTATTATGATGCAAGGAGAATGTTTTCACTTAACAGTAACAATTCAAAAAACATAAACAACTAAAAATTATTGCAGGACAATAATGTAATTAGAACTCCATATTTGTATTTGAATGTTTTACCGCCTCCTCATAGTCAACATATAATGACCAAATTCATCATTTTCTTCACCATCACCAGTTTCCTGATTTCTATAAATATAAGCAAGTGCCTGACAACACTGTTGTACCCACACTCAAAAATGTACACTTCCACTGGGCTGTTTCTATACTTCCCTTGCCCTTAGGTTCTAATCATCAACTTTGTGCCATTTCTCCTTCAAAATGTTCCTCACATTGCTTTTCTTGCAAACAATGACCTTGCCTCTAAATTCATTTAGTTCTTTCTCACCTTAAAACATAATTAAAATCAAAACTACAAAATTGGTCACAAAGAGCCTACTAAATGGTCCCACCATCTTTGATATCTTGTCCGATTAATTTTTTACCTAAAAAGATTAACTTTTAGAAAGATAACTTTCATCTCATCCATATTCAAGATGAGATAAGATGGATGCCCATAAGAGAAAGTCTAAGTCCTCCTTGTCACCTCATCATCACCACGCTGAATATTCCCTAAACACTGAGGATATTGTTGGGCAGTGTGTTCTGAGGGCTCAATAAATGTTGGAGGAAATAGAAAAAAGGATTATGATGAAAACAAGAAAGGATAAAGGAGGAGAGAGAGATGAAAGAAAAGAATATACTGAGGAACAAGACAAAAGAGTGAATCATACCAGATTTCCAGGGTAAGGGAAATACTAATGTGATGTATAACATCAGCAACTGAAAAACAGATAAATTGCCTTTGAAACCCATAATAACAGGGACAATGTTCATTCTGCTATGTGTGCAGGGACAACTACAATTGCTATTAATTCTCTGCATTTGACCAGATGAAGAAAAGTTTTTACACTTCTCCAACAGCACATAACCATCAACTTTTTAAACAAGGTCATAAAATTGAATGATGCTTATTCTACTCTATCAGTACTGAAAATCACTTTTTGAATGTCCCACAGCTCAAGAAGTGAGTGGTCCTTGAATTAAAATGTTGATTATATCA